AGTTCAAAATTGGTTTGAATCCTACTTAAAGGACAGAAAAAACTTTGTTTCTATAGGTAAATACACATCTGAATTGACAAATATGACATGTGGGGTTCCTCAAGGCTCCATCTTGGGGCCTCTTCTCTTTAACATCTACATGCTACCACTGGCTCAGATAATGAAAAACAACAAAATAAGTTACCATAGCTATGCGGATGACACACAAATTTACATAACAATTTCACCAGGAGACTATGCTCCAATTCAAACACTGAATAAGTGCATTGAACAAATCAATGACTGGATGTGTCAGAACTTTCTCCAATTAAACAAAGATAAAACTGAGGTAATGGTTTTTGGAGCCAAGGCAGAACGTATAAAAGTTAGCGCTGAGCTTCAGTCTGCAATGTTCAAAACAACAGATAAAGCCAGAAATCTAGGTGTAGTCATGGACTCTGACCTGAGTTTCAACAGTCACATTAAAACAGTTACTAAATCAGCCTACTATCACCTAAAGAACATATCTAGGATTAAAAGACTAATGTCACAGCAGGATTTGGAAAAACTTGTCGATGCTTTTATCTTCAGTAGACTTGACTACTGCAATGGTGTCTTCACAGGTCTCACTAAAACATCTATTAGAAAGCTGCAGCTGATTCAGAACGCCGCTGCTCGACTGACACTGACACTAAGAAAGTGGATCACATCACTCCTGTTCTGAAGTCTTTACACTGGCTTCCTGTGTGTCAAAGAATAGATTTCAAAAATACTGCTGCTGGTTTATAAAGCATTGAATGGTTTAGGCCCAAAATACATTTCTGACCTACTGCAAAATTATGAACCATCCAGATCTCTCAGGTCTTCAGGGACTGGTCAGCTTTCTGTCCCCAGAGTCAGAACTAAACATGGAGAAGCAGCGTTCAGTTATTATGCTCCAAATATCTGGAACAAACTCCCAGAAAACTATACACGTGCCAACAGAACACCTCTCCAACGTGCCAGACGCCATCGAATGTGAGCATTTGCCCACTCAAGTCGGTTACGACGACGAACCGGAGTCAGGTCGAGACCCCGATTCAGAAATTCTTTGGTTATGCAAACCGATTGTTGCAGCAGCTGTCCGAGTGGCTGGTCTCAGACGATCTTGGAGGTGAACATGCTGGATGTGGAGGTCCTGGGCTGGTGTGGTTACACGTGGTCTGCGGTTGTGAGGCCGGTTGGATGTACTGCCAAATTCTCTGAAACGCCTTTGGAGACGGCTTATGGTAGAGAAATGAACATTCAATTCACGGGCAACAGCTCTGGTGGACATTCCTGCTGTCAGCATGCCAATTGCATGCTCCCTCAAAACTTGCGACATCTGTGGCATTGTGCTGTGTGATAAAACTGAACATTTCAGAGTGGCCTTTTATTGTGGCCAGCCTAAGGCACACCTGTGCAATAATCATGCTGTCTAATCAGCATCTTGATATGCCACACCTGTGAGGTGGGATGGATTATCTCGGCAAAGGAGAAGTGCTCACTATCACAGATTTTCAGATTTGTGAACAATATTTGAGAGAAATGGTTATTTTGTGTATATAGAAAATGTTTTAGATCTTTGAGTTCATCTCATGAAAAATGGGAGCAAAAACAAAAGTGTTGCATTTATATTTTTGTTCAGTGTAATTTGCTAAAGTGATGATTTCATCTAGTGGTTATTTCTTCTTTAACAGTCTTGTTTGGTGAATCACACATGATATGGTGAAGTACTTTAGAATTTCCCTCTCAGGCGATGATGATGCAAACTATATTCATAAATGTTTGTAAAAAAATAAATCACCCACTCATTTAATTCCCTCTGGTTCAGTTACTGAAACCAGAAAAGGTTACACAGCTTCTTTCCTCAACAGTTTTTATATCTGCCTTCAAAAGGACTGACAGTCAGTCAATGCCAGAAAAACAAGGCCACTGAAGTCAAGGCTGACAAAACAGACATTGACTAAAGGCCTTGCATGTTGATAGAGATTCACATGACGTGATGACGGTAATGAGTTTTTTTTTCTCATTAAAAGGAATGCCTTGTCATGTCTTTAACATGTCCCCCCTTAAGGCTGAACAAACATTTTCTTTAAAAAAAAGAATATGTTCAGCTGTAGGTGTGTGTGTGTGTGTGTGTGTGTGTGTGTGTGTGTGTGTGTGTGTGTGTGTGTGTGTGTGTGTGTGTGTGTGTGTGTGTGTGTGTGTGTGTGTGTGTGTGCCTCCGGTGTGTGTGTGTGTGTGTGTGTGTGTGTGTGTGTGTGTGTGTGTGTGTGTGTGTGTGTGTGTGTGTGCCTCCGGTGTGTGTGTGTGTGTGTGTGCATGTGTGTGTGTGTGTGTGTGTGTGTGTGTGTGTGTGTGTGTGTGTGTGCCTCCGTGTGTGCATGTGTGTGTGTGTGTGTGTGTGTGTGTGTGTGTGTGTGTGTGTGTGTGTGTGTGTGTGTGTGCCTCCGGTGTCTGCATGTGTGTGTGTGTGTGTGTGTGTGTGTGTGTGTGTGTGTGTGTGTGTGTGTGTGTGTGTGTGTGTGTGTGTGTGTGTGTGTGTGTGTGTGTGTGTGTGTGTGTGTGTGTGTGTGTGTGTGTGTGTGTATTCTGGCTGAAGTGGAGGTCAGGGATGTTGTCATGTGATGTAACCAGATGACACAGTTTTAAAATTGGGAGGGATGAAACCCTCTTTAATGGTCACACATGCAGAGCACTCAGCACACACAGTGAAATGTGTTCTCTGCTTTTAACCCATCCTAGTACCAGGAGTCTAGTACTAGGAGCAGTGAAGCGCTTGATAAGGGTCCTCACCTCTTTTAACCTTCTCGTAGCCTGTGAATGCTAATGACAATTAAAATTAACCGAGCCATCTTTGAAATCACACATGAGACCAAGAGAGGAGTGTGAGTAAGACCTTGGATTGGCCCACACACACAAGAGGGGGGGGGGGGGGTATTTCAAGGAAATGTTGACATATGATAAACCCTGTGTTTGAGGGTTGTGTATATGAGGCTGTGCTGCACCTTTTTGACCCTACACACGCATTCACAGGGGGGGGTGACACACCTCCTTTCTCGCTATGCTGGTGGTGTTTTTTTATTTTTAGCACAGATCGAGTTTCCAGTCCCCCGATTCAGCAGCCTGAGGTGCTCAGCAACACAACTCCTTATCCTAGAGCAGTTTGTTGCCTGCTTGACTATGTAGCACAGACGTTGATCCTCTGTTTTGAAATGGAGCCCGTGAAGTGACGATTGCAGGAGCGGTCACAGGGAGTGAGAAGACGGAGGATGACTGGTAATTCTAAAGATAATTTAAAACGGCCATGTCATTGTGATGCTCTGCCATCGATTTGAAAGGATACAGAGGAAACTGCTGGCTGAAAATCTAAACTAAAAACCAGGTAAAGGCAAATCAATGACAACAAAAGATGGGCATTTTTTAGGATACGTGTGGACAAATAGTGCATTTTGCTTTTAGAAAAATACTTTATTTGAATAAGGGTTTTACAATTTTCTGTTCTAAAGCTTTTAAAGTTTAAAGTGTGAGGATTTCTAATCATATTGTGTATTTTGTAAGTATGGCATGACTGCTGAACATTATGGAAATAACATTGAAATATGCAAAGTAGGTATAGAAGATGATGATGATGATGGGGGGTGAGCATTATAACTGAGTCAAAGTTTGAGTAACACTCCCTGTGCAATACACTTCAATGTTCAGATTGTTGAAATAGAGCTAATATGATTAGTCAGTTAATTAAGCAGTGACCCAATCAATATAAATCTAGACTGCAATTATTTGTATCACCTAATTTTTTGTTTTCAGGCAAAAGTACCAAAAATGTGCTTCTTTTAGACTCTCACTTATGATGATTTGTTACATTTTTTGTTTTAGTGATATACACAGAATATCCTTGGGTTTTGGATTGTTGGTTGAACAAAAGAATAAATGTTTCACCAGTCACAACATTTATTTTTTAATAATTGGTCATAAAGAATTATTTTCTCAATTCATCTGAAATGTAAATCTCAAAATGCATCACATCATTGTTTGTTCTTTTATTTCCAGCTTCAGTCAAGGTGACTTGTCATCGGCTGTGTTTACTGCAAGTGGCCTGGAGGAGAGGATATCCAATGTCCTACAGGATGCATCCTACCAACAATACTGCATGACACCGTATGAAACAATGCAGCGGCAGGAGGAGAGGGGTGAGATAAATATGCTATGCTGCTGCTACTGTAACTATACAATTTCCTGATCTATCTATCTATAGATGCACTATGCTCTAATGTATTTTTGTACTGCTTACAAATTATATAATTAAAGAATTCAATTTCTGCTTAATACAGTTTAAACAAATGTAGTGATGTAAATGATGAGTTATCAGGTTACACATAATCGATGCAAAACACAGTGTTAGACACTAGAGGTCGCAATGTTTTTATTAATTTCGGCCAAATAACAGTTCCCTTCAATTTAACTCTGAAATGATACTAAATCTGGGGGTTAGCATGTACTTGTTGCTCATGGTGTACTGAGATGTGTTTCAAAAATCAGATTAGTGAAATTGTATGGGACTGCTTTGTTTTTTCTCCTCATAATCAAACCACCTAGTTGTAACAACAGGCCCAGTTCATGCGTGAAATGCGGTCGATTTGTTTGAAATTATTTAAAAGAGTATATTTGTTGAGGGAGAAATCGTTTCTTTACAATGGCTTGTGTTGTGATGTAAACACTGGGCTTCTTCTCACGCCACATCCTCCGGACTGTTATTTTCCCCGGGCTGTACCACAAAGTTTACCGGAGGGGTGTTAGTATCGTCTTGCTGGTTCTTTTGAACATGTAATAACGTATTAATTACATCATTTTTTATAATTTCTGAAATACGGACATTGAAAAGGTTTCATGGCTCTTTTTAAGTTAAATATATGAAGCAAAGATACATCTTCTCTTAATGAGACTTCTTGTAGCCCCCCACGTACTAAGTAATTCAGTCGACTGACTGGCGTTGCTTTTCACTTTTCGACGAAAAAGCTATTGTCTGTTACTTTAAAACCAAGTTTGTACGCTCCTACTGCGAAGCTAACTTCGGTCGTTAGCTTCACCTTTAGTTAATAACATTGTTTTAAAAGTGTTTTTAAAGTGATAATGAAAGACGTCGGGGTAGTACTTTATCTGCTGGAAGTTAAAACCTGCTAGGCAGATAGTCATCTTTTTGTGAGCTGTCGGCCTTCAGAGCTTGGGGGAAACGTTAGCTAAATTTGGCTGCGTTTAGCGTTAGCTGGCGTATGGCTAACTGCTAGCTGCTGCCGGCAAATGCGTAAAGTATGTTGATGTGTTCCTGCGAAAAAGTGGATTTTAACATTACTTCGCGCACCGTCGCTCGGCTTGTTTTCGAGGCCGAGCAAGACAACAGCAACGGAGGGATTTCATCTAATGGAAGGTAGGATATCCAACTTTCCCAGGCTGCAAAGTTTATCATATTGAACCCGAATGTGTGTCTCCAAGACAACTGTCCTTGGTTCTTTAAAACGTACACAATATTATGTCAGGAGATATAAGCGGTTGGCGTTGTTTCAACAACAACGTTGAGCACAACATACTGAGTACTGGTTTGAATTCGCAGGAGCAGCTGTTCCTCGGAACTTGTGTCTCACTCAGTGAGTCTATGGTCACTTTGCAGGAACTATTTGTCTGTTTGTGTCACATCTAAAATCGCTGTTTGTCCGTGTGTGATTGTGTGTGATAAAAGCTTGACGTGGCCTATGTTTCATGTAAAAAAAAATCTGGCTGTGTGGACCAGGGAGTGAAGGCTATACGGGGATTATGGTGGATTACTCTGGACAAACAAGTATACGTGCCAAGATTGGTCTTGTTCAAACAGATCACAGCAAATACTGTCAGACGTGCTTGGGTCTTTGAAAGTGAATGCTTTGAAGGCAGACAATGGAGTGACCCAATCCGTCCCTGTTGGAGGACACATCTGCAGTATGTGTTAATGTTGTTATGACCTTGATACTGATAGCCCATAGTTGCAATTATACTTTGTTATCGGTGGTATAAACTATGTGTGTTTTTTTTATTTAAAGGTGCTGTTTTAGTACATTGCTACAGTGTCTGACGTTGGTTTTGTGGGATTCTTTATCTAGGGATTTTAGATGGAGAACCTGTGTGTTGATACAGATCCGTCCTTGGGCAAATAGGCTTTCCTTTGCAACACATGGTGGTTAAAATCTCTCTTGATATCTGTTATTCTCCATTTATGATAAATCCAGAGTGACAGTGTCAGTCAGTCCCATGCTCTCCCAGTTATTGCTATTTCTGAGTTGCTTGAAGGGAGAAACTGTTCAAATATTCAGCTAAAGTAACTTTATATTCTCCAGTCGTAGGCAAAAGAACAAAAGTAACATAAACTAGCCCACTTTAAATAAATCTTATCGATCGTCCCTCTGACGGGAAAGTATAACATTGCCAATACATCATCATCATCATCATCATCATATGATACCTCATATTCCCAGAACTGGCAGAGCACACAGTATCAAAGACCAGACAGAAATAGCTTTAGTCTCGCAGTCATTTGTTTTAGTGTAAACATACATGATTTTATGATTTTATTTTTAGAAAAGTGGCAGTCAGATGTAGGCCAGCCTTTTGAATGCAAAGTTTCTGCTCTTGTCACTCCTCAGGTAGCTACTTCCAGACACATATCTGTCTTGGTCTGAGACTTCAACTCTTGCTAAGATGAGTCTGATTATGAAAAAGGCGAGCTTGAAGTCTACCAAACAAGAAAGAAGAGCAACCGATTTCTGAAGAAAGAAAGTGACGCCGGACAATTCAAGAAATGCAGAAAAGGGAAAAGGGATAATAAAGCATTTATTCACTCCCTACAAACACATACATTGGACAACCTGAAATGGCGTGCCTAAAGAACACAAACGCCTGTTAAACTATTTGACAGACTTCCTCCCAGCTTCCTGTTGCATCTATTTTTCACTGTGAAGAAACCCCTACAGCTGAACCTTTTCTTTTACATGAAGCCACTTTCTAAAGTTCAACAGAAATACGGAAAATATAAAACAATCTTAACTCATAATTAATGTGTATGTAATATGGCTGAGTCAATTTGCCCAGAATGATTGTCTGATGTTTCAACCCATCCTGTTTCTAAAAATATATCAAATGCAAGCATGACTAGACCATCTTGGCCCGTTGTGGGTCAGTCTCAACTATAAAAATGCAACAAGCCCTTGTTGGTGCCTTTCTCTTGATCGAGAGAGACAAATAAGACGACTATGTCCACACCTGTGGGACAAGAAGGCATGACTCTGGCTCATCCCATTCCCATCCCAACACTGACTGTCCTGCCACCATCCTCCGACACAGAGTCCTGGTCTCGCTCGCCCAGCCCCAGACAGTCGCGTTCGAGCCGCTACGGTCGATCCCACCGCAGCAGGACCCGGACCAAGAAGCGAAATGAAGAAGAGCAATGCTGCACTCCTAAGCGACAATGGGGGAAAAAGCAAACTGTGATAAAGGAGCCTGTGGAGAGGGGCACCATTCCACATAGGAGCCCCTCGCCCAGCTCCTCTGTGGCCACTCAGATGGAGGAGGAAGAGCAAGGTCAGGAGATCCCTTCACAGGACCTCCTCCTGCCACCGTCCCGCTCCTGGTCTCGTAGTCCCTCTCCCAGCCGGCGCTCCCGTTGGTCGTTCAGAAGCCTGCTCAATAGAGACTCTGACTGGGAGGGCTGCAGGTTAGTGTGCTGGATTCATCTCAAATAACCAGCCATTGATTACAGGACATTGTAATGAAAAAAGAAATACAGATTAGGAAGTTGTCTGCAGCATTCGCTTACTCCCTCGTGAGGCACAAACTAAAATGTGTTTTCCCTTCATTCATTCAGTTGATGCTTCTCTTTGATTGTCACCACATAAGGTTCACTGACTACACTGTCAGCACTATGCTTGACTGTCTCATGGCTATTCTATGCTTGTAGCGCTGTAAAACCTCAGCTAATTTGCATTCAGGTCATATGAGGCCAGATTTGGCTGCAATGACTGATTGGAGTGAGTAGCCTCTCATTTGTGCGCGTTGGTGGGGAATAAAAACGCCCTACATTTGACAGATTTATGCTTAGTTTTCAAATGCTACACAAGGTCAACTCTTTTGGAACAGGCTGGAGTTAATTATCTAATGGCTAAAACTAGTGAGGACAGATACAACTGTTACAATGTTCCAAGTTGATTCATGATAAGCTGTGACCTCAGATAAAAAGCAGGCAACTGCTCAGATGGTTGAATTTGAGAGATGAACAAGAAATGCCCTTGCTACCCTTTTTTTTTAGGAAAACACACAAACCTCATATTCCCTGCAATTGATTTGTATTTTCAAATAATAGTATAAGGTTTAAAGAAAGACTGTCCTTTTTAAATAAGCAAAACAGCAAGGTTATGTAAACTGTAAACAAAGAAAGTGAGACCACAGTGCTGGGTCAGTCACAAGGAGCTAGAGGCGGTGTTCATGCGCCATGAATCCTTCGTCTGAAGCATGACATCACTCTCAGCCAATGGGAGTGGGCTCTCAGTCTGATGATGTCATGTGAGTCCAATCAGAGGAGGCTCTGGGCACCACTGCAGAGGGCAAGAAGAGGGTGATTTTCTCTAGTGCTCCATATGAACAGCTGTGCCCTTGTCCTCTTCATTTACACATCATTTTATTGACCCAGTTATCTTGTTTTGCAGCTGCTGGAAACTAATGAAAGTTTATATCCACATTTTTTATAATAACCATTCCAATGTTGGTTGACAGTGGCCTTTTTTTATAGGGAAAAAGGTATGTTTATAGCTAAGAGTGAATAGGGTGTGCATTTTCTTCTATGGCTTTTCTTGGTTATCGTTTACACACATATCCCAAGACATGCTGGAACGTATTCAGAAAAAGGCATGTTAGGATTTACCTAACATTGTTTAAACCTAAATCATTCCCTTGATTAGGGAACACTCAAATGTATCTTTGGTTAGAGATTCCTCGTTTTACATTTCAATATTAGGGCTGAAAGATTTAGAGGATTTCTTTTTGAAGTTCGGATTTTTGGTGTCAAGACAAATTATTTTCCAAAAACGTGAACCAGACTTGAGCAAATTGCTAAACTGACCCTGCACCGTCATGGCACGTTTCTTTTTCGTATTTAACAGTGGAAAGTTTCTGCTGATAAAATCAGCTGTGGGTTGCTGACAATTGAGATGCATTGGAGATAATCTTCTCATTTTTGACTTGTTCTTCTTTCTTTCTTTAAAAGTGGTCGGAGAATATTCACTCTTGAATTTCATAATTTCAGTGTGTTGTTATTTATAAGAATTCTTCATATGGACTCCTACCTTTTTAAAGAGGAAGTCAGCGATCCTGGAGGAAGATTGCTGATATTTAAACTCGACACCAAAAACAAATACCCATCTCCAGATTTACCGGCCATCTCACTCCCACTGTCATTGTTATCCATCCATGGCCTTTTCTCTGTCTGTGCACCAACGCCCCCTGTTGCTGATTGGCTGGAATAGTTTAGTGTGGCAGTGGGCCGAGACACTTTGTTTGTTTCTCATGTACAGAGCCAGGGCTGTTTATGAACACCAGCACACAGACAGCCTGCAGACAGTGAGGAGATATTTACTGATTTTGATCAAAAAGTCTATTTCATTAGAATTGCTGACTCCACCTTTTTAAAGCCAGCAAGTGTCTTGCTCTGGGTCTTGATCCAGAGTTAGATTTAAGTTGCTAGGCTTGTGTGTCTGTGGCGCCTTAACCAATGAAACGCATGTCCTGTGTTTTTAGTTGTGTCTTCTGTGCCTGTCAGTTTCGACTTTAGATAGTTGAGGCATTTTATTTGTGACTTCACATTTAAATCAATCAAAGTATCTGCTTGCAGTACAAGGATGACATTTTCAGGTCAATATGTTTCTGTTTGTTCGAGTGCTAAATGTCGGTGCATTCACACCTAATAGTCCGCTTCTCTGGTGCGCACCAGACGACAGTTTGTTACATTGTTTCATTTTTCAGAAGGTTCGGGCAAAACTCAAACGGACTATAAACTTTAAACACAAGTCATGTGCACGGAAATGCTGTTCAACCATTGGTGAGACATTAAGGGGGTCAAAACGCAAATCCCGACCATTTCTACCGGAGCCTCCGCCATGGAGCATCGGCACTTTCGGCAGGTTATTCTCATGCTGCTGTTAATCTGGAGATCAACAGACTCTAGCGGCCCGCGCATATGATTATATAATCAGACAATGTCCGTTAAAAAACAAAATAACACATAAGACGTTCTGCAGTAAGGAGGGGCGTTTCACCGACGACAGGTGTTCTTACTTTTATGTAGCTGACGGAGAATTGTTACTTTACACGACACTGTTCAACACTTCATTCTGCTTCACTCTTTAACTAAACAACCGCGGATGTCTTGAAAGACTCTTTCGCTAAAGATTTTGAAGATATCCGCGTTCTTGTGACACGTAAATACTACGCTTCCTATGTTTAGGTGCGGACTGCGTTCACACCAGCAATGACCGCTCCAGAGTTCGCAAGCAAGCGCTCCGAGACCACCTATTTTAGCGGGCCAGAGTCCGGTTGTTTAGTTCACTTCAGAGTTCTCGGATTGTGTTCACACCGACCCAAATGAACCGCACCAAGCGGCTAAACGCACCAGGGTTCGATTCAACCGGACTATACAAGGCAGGTGTGAACGCACCCTTAAGCTATATACTAAATTGTTTTTTATACAGAACATTGGTCAATGAAGGATAACTGCGTCTGATGGATTCAGTTTTTATTGCTGCTTATTTGGTGACTGCACTATTTGTAGGACTGCTCGATTATTTCAAAAATCATAATTTCGATTATTTGGGTCAATAATTGTAATTGCGATTTATTAAATGCGATTATTCATTGACTTTGACATTCAACATCCATTTATTGGAGAAAATAAATGTGAACAGTATGTTTTTAACAGTTGATTACCCTGAACTTTAAGTATAATTCAACTGAAAAACCAAAAATAAATAAAATAAAAATAAAGTAATAATAATAAAAAAAGAATCGTTTTATTTCGATTACGTTGTTTTCGTAATCGTTGCAAGCCATAATAGTAATCGCGATTAAAATACGTTTAATTGAGCAGCCCTAACTATTTGTTCCCATCCTTTAAATGTTGGTGTTGAAAAAGTGTATTAATGACACATTTGTTCCTTTGATTTCCCTTTGAATGCCTCAGTCACAAGATGTGCAAAGGTAATGCGTCTTACACTTGGTTTGCACAACTAGCACAAATTCATTTTGAAGGTACAGCTGAAAGGGTACACCTTACGCAAAGACCTCTGTCTCGCCATGCTGATGTAAACATGTTGTGACATTGTCATAATAATAACTTATCACATGTTAAGCTTTACAAATATGTACACTGATAAGCCTCTAGTCAGTTAACAGTCTGAAGTCCAGTAGAGTATGAAGAGTGTAGGATATGCCTTGTTTTAGAACGACTCGGTCATACTGATGATGACACAACGAGGGCTGCATGATATGGAGTCTTTCAGCTCATTTAACTGATAATTACTTGCTGCTCATGGCCAACACTGATTATACATAACAATTGATCTCCTGAAATATAACCTGTATTTAGTGCAGACCTAGGGGTAGGAAAGCTTCTTCTTCTGGGTTTATCAACGGTAACAACTTTGAAAGTACACCTGTTGCATCAGAGAGTGATGCTACAGTTGTTAAGTTAATGACAGCGATCTTGCTTTGAATTATTAGATGATAATTTATTGGTTATAAATATTATTTTAAGAAAAACATGTAATGATATATGTCCCATCATTCGGCAGAAATGTATTTACTTAAATGTTCTCGGAATAAGATTTACCAATACAAATGTCCTATTTATGACTGATAATTTATTGCCAACTAAATGTATTGTATTCCGGGACACAACATTGCATCTTTTCACATACAGGGTGAACAATCGGCTCAAAGGTCAAGTGTAAAGCGGAGGTTTATATTGCAAAACTTGACATGGCTGTTGCTGTCTGGATGTACAAAACTCAAGGACACAATTGCAAAGTACTGCCAGATCAACAACACAGTGACCTGCTAGCTGATTGTGATCGATTGTAATGTTGACCTCTCTTTTTCAATGCTGCTTTGGGGCTTTTTCTTGTTCACACAGACAACAGTGTGTGTTGTAGATTATTCATCCACTTTTGACCGTATCCTGATTTCAGACAATATTCTCGATTCCTTCACTCTTGCCGGTGAGTATCGGACACCCAGCTCCTTGGTATTTAATTTGTTAATCCTGTTTCTAGTAAGGACCATTTGGAGTCATATTTATCGTTTTGTTGAACGTTACGGAGCGTGTTTACCCGTGGGTCTTTGAGTTTTGCTCCCATGTGTATGACAGAAGCTACAATCTCCCAATAAGCCTGAAGACATCGATCTGTGCCGTCAGAGGAGTCCACCTGAAATAATAGGTTTTCACTAGAACAAAGGAAATGTCTAAAGAGCAGCACCTTCACATCGTTTATACCCACTTTCTTTTCTTGCTCCTTCCTCAATGTCCACCAAGCCCATGAAACTCTGCCATCATTATGGGCAGTTGGTGACCTCAGCAAAACAGATTACACAGAGGGAGAGTCTGAATGGTGGAGATGTCGGCCTGGCTCAGCCCATCGTGGATTATGATGTGGACTGTAATCCAGAGGGATGGACAGAGATTGGGGGTTAAGGGATTGAGTTGGCTCTGGGCTTTGGCCAGGTGGATTCACCACAGGCAGCCATGGTCTCTTCATTTACAATGCTAGTCATGTTTTAGCCTGTGTTTTTCCTGGGCCTCCATCTGATATTGAAAGGTAATAATCCCAAATAGTTAACAACCTAATGACATCTATTTGATATTTTCTTACTATGTTTGTTTGGAACGTGTAGATTGAATAAGGGTTGTACAACTTTGATTTATAGGAATCTGTTGAGTATTTTATTGATTAAATGTTTGGTCTATAAAATGTCTGAAATAAGTCACACAGTCCCAGGACAGAGTCCCAGTGACTAAGGAGATGACTTCAAATAGCTTATTTTGACCGACCACATTCTCTATCATTGAGGACCAATGTCAGAACTACTCAAAAAAGTGTTTTGAACGGTTGGTTAAACATTTTATAATCCATTAATCATCATAATAGTATTTAGATCGTTCTGTCATGAGGATCAATCCAAGCCACTTAAAACACACAGAACCCGTATTGGAAATGCTACAGATGCCTCAAAATGAACGTGGGAAATTATTTGCTGAAGCTTGTTTTGTTCAATAAATCTAAGTAGGCCTATCCTATTTATCTTGAACATTTCAGGATTTCATATGCTGTAAAAAAAAAAAGCATTACATTCAAATATAACACTTTTGCACTAACTGGTCCCTTTAAATTCAGGTAAAATCCCCAGTTTTGACTCTGCCTAATCATCCTTATCGGTGCCCCCCAATCCAGCACCACTTCGATTAAAAAAAGAAGAAGAAGCAAGGCCTCACTGAACACATGGAGGCGCCTCCCCCTCCCTTCCTTCCTCCCTCCCTCCCTCCCTCCACCCTCTCCCTGGTTGCAAAGGGGATTACGGATGGACGCAGAGACTGCAGCCCGTTACTGGGTCCTCCTGACGGCATAGGGAGCAGCGGTCCGTCCGGTACCTTGCTGCGGGATGCAGGGGCGAAATCCGCTATGAAAAACTAAACCATCCGACCGCGGGACGGTGGAAGATGGGTGCATTTCTACCCGGAGGCGAAGCGAAGGAAACAAGGCAGAAGAGCGGACATACAGCCCTGTAGCGTCTGGCTTGCTTTAGCTGCAAACACACACACACACGGAACACCGAATCGAAACAATAGTGAGCGACAACGTGCGTGTGTGTGTGTGTTTTGTGGATATTGGCTTCATCGCAAATGCCTCATGACATGTTCGAGTAAGTGACATAAACAGCGCTTGAGCGGTGATTAGCATATTATGCTATCCGTTGATCTGTATGTGCTCCTCATACACCGTCCATCATGGTCCGATGTCGGTGTGGTCAAATGAGTCACAGCTCTGCAAATCCCACTGATAACATGGGTGGGACAGGCATGGTTTATGTAAAAGCACAGGTGTGCAGCTCTAGTCTGATATTAGCTGTGTAAACTTGTTGCTAGCGGTGTGTTTATGTTATTGCTGTCGGTGCACTCAACTACCTCCACCCTGTTTCCCTGACCATAGCACCCCTGCTAGTGCTTCTTAATGGAAACGAGTGTTATCATTCATTCATGCCTGACTCTTTCTCGGTGTTTGTCCAGTTATAGTGTTGAGTTTACTGGACTGGATTTGTTTTGGGTAGCAGAACCCAATGCTAGCTTTCATTGATGTAAAGTAACTAAGTAGATTTACTTCAGTACAATTTTGAGGGACATGTACTTTACTTGAGTATTTCAATTGTATGCTACTTTCTACTCCACTTCAATTCAGAAGTATATTGTGTACTTTACCTCTTCTACATGTATTGAGTTACTTTGCAGATTTGGATTACTGTTGTGAAATATATTCAACACTTAAATAGGACTTTAGTTACACTTGTACATTCACAAGCTACCCTGCAGTAAACAAAGTAATTAAATCTAGCTGCACCTTTACCAGCTTTGATAACACTAGTACATCAATATTTATAATCAAAACATACAATATACATTATTCTGAAATGGGCCAATCTGCCCAAGGAGTACCTTTTTGCTTTCGGCGATTTAAGTATATTTTGATGCTAATACTTTGGTACTTTTACTTGAAACACATTTTGATTGCAGGACTTGTACTTGTAACAGATTATTCCTACACTCTGGTACTTCTACCTTTTATTTTACTTTTTGCACCTCTACTAGCTTTCTATTAGCTTATGTGCACTATCGCTTTGCTTGACAAATGTACAGAGGAGAGGTCAATATTACTACTCTAAAGGCTAACTAGTGGTTTGTCGACTCTTCTGAAAGTGCTGCCTGTTATCCCTTTTACGTTTGTGCTGCTCAGGGATTTAGCTCTGGTGTGTAAACACATGCTGACACAGATTCACATCACTTGCACGCACAGCATTAAAGAACCCATTACTCTCATGTGCGTTTACCTCAAGAAAGCCTAATGCTGCTTGCCATTATGCCGATCCAATTACCAATGCTGCAATAAATAATGTATTGTCAGAGGTGGAGGAAGTACTCAGATCCTGTATTAGAACTATCAGATTGTAGGAATACTCTGTTACAAATAAAAGTACATTTATAAAAGTATTAGCACCAAAATATAATATCATGTTTTGATTATAAATATTGATGCATTATTGTTATTAAAGGAGCAGCTAGTTTTAATTACGCTGCAGGGTAGCTAGTGAATGTTACTCCGCGTGTAACTTAAGTCTTATTCTAAGTGTTTATTATAATTCACATCCTTATTCCAAATATGCGAAAGGTCTTAAATGAATGTAGTGGAATAAAAGTAGAACACATTTTCCTACATTTGTAAGTTGAAATAGTATGTTACCATTCAAACGCTCTTTAAAAGGCCACTTTTCTTTCTTGCATGCACATTATACAGCTCTTAAAACATTTGACTAAGTGCAGTTTATTGACCTGTTTATCATCAATAATTGCTTTTAGTTATTAACACTGGATCAACACAATCAGACCAACTCAACTGCCACACACTACAAAAAGAGTAAACGATATTTAGTAAATGTTTTGAAATATAGGAGTTTCCTTAAACAATAGATTGTATTGTTATAGATATGGTGAAAACATGACCGTTCGTGTCAAAGCAGTGGTTCACAAAGAGATTGTTCGAGGTAGTTTGGTGTGTGGCAGTCTGGCTGAAAGGGAGAAGAATACAAAAGAAGGTTTTGGTTTAGCTTCATAAATGAAACTAGCAATTGTAGTCTAAAAAGAGCCACTGCAGCATACTGTTGAATAAGCGAGCAGACGTGTGCATACTTAGCCTTTTTTTCCATCACTTTACCTGCTGTTGTTATAATGTACATTAAAGGATTTCTTATCTTGATGCAGAGAATTCATCAAGTTGGAGTTTACCGGTTTAAAGCTAGCACTTGAGCAGTTACATCTGATTCAAATGGACTGCTAATGGTATTAAGGTATTACTTACAGAGGAAAACCATGGAAACTGTGTTGTTGCATAAATATCCATTTACGTGTCACTGGACTGAACATTAGATGTGAATGTTTTGGCAGCAGTAGGATGACCCTGAAAGGAAATTAGTGCCTTGACTATTATCCTCTAACCTATATTCAATGGCCGTAATAAGCAAATGGTGGACTTGATTATTAAGAGTAGTTGATTGTCATAGTTTTTATCCATAACATTTCTGTACACTGAGTAATGCTTTGACCCATGTCCACATTGTTACTGAAAAATCAAAACAAGTATTTTCAGCTTTTATCTAATGGTTCGTTTCCGTTTTGAAATGATCAGATCTGTAATTACAGCTTAAATGCTATGACGTTCTTGGTTGACTTGGCAGTGTTTTATTCCAAAGGATACTGCAGATCTTGTATTTTGTAGTTGTTTGGACAGAATTAAAGGGACACATTGTCATTCTTCAGCCGGTTTTGTATCATTACAATGTGGGTAGTAGATACAAATGTACAATATCTAACATCACCCAGACCTTCCCACTGATTATCTAGCAACATTTGAAACCGCATGTGTCTTTCTGCGTGCTTTCAATGGCTCTAGGGCTGTTGTTTGAACAGATGGCATACAGAAAATCTGTTGACCTGTTGTTCAAACAGAGCCGGCAAACACTTTTGCTGGCAAATGAGTGTGGAGCTCTGGATACTGGCAACATGAAGGACATTTAAACATTGTTCATTTGCATATACTACTCTACTAATACGTAGCCAGATGAAAATTGTCAATTTGCCCTTTTAAGAGCCGTTACCGAACAGCTTTAAATGCCCTCACTGTCTGGCTGCTGCTCCAGTCACAGTCAGTTCATCTGATAACACTGACTGTACGTGCTTTTTCTTTGGTCTTTAGTATGCACTTTGAGATGGCTTGCTTTGATCAAATAGGAAATGCCTGCAGCCTTTCTTCATAGCATGACATTGAAGAGATGACGGGGCAAGATTTATTTATGAAATGTTTCCTCTGTTCTTCCCTGAGTTCAATCTTTCTCCCTCTTTTTTTTTTTGTCTCCAGTACGGCCAGTAACTCTCCACGCAGCACCCCCGGCAGCTCTCCCTCGCTGCGGCGCAGGGTCCTCGGGGGAAGCAGCAGGGCCAGTGAGAGCGAGGGGGGAGGAGGAGAGAAGAGCGGCGGTGGGGGGGGAGGCTCCGACAGCCCCCTGCCCTCCATACCTTCTGCCTCCTCCCTCACATCCGCCTACCCACTTGCTTCTCGACACTTCAGCCGCAATGCCAAGGTAACTCCGAATATCACTCAGAATATGATATGTAGGATTGCGCCCTCTTAATCAAAACATTAATTAATAACAAACTGTTGAGCGAGAATTCCCCATTCTGGCACAATCTTCAATCATTCTGAGCTTTCAGCTGCATTTCAAAGAAAGTTTATGATAATAAATCAACAGCTAAAATGCCATTGTGTGGGAGGGACACACGCTGGTTTATCAACACTGATATGTTAAATACATTTAAATGTGTTATTTGTATTTTCCTTCCTTTCTATTCGAGGCATTTTATAAGCACAATGTTCACTGGTTTTGTTGGCAGAATGGAAACGTTAGCTTGTTAGCGCTCTGTAAATGTACCTAGACACGGCATGTGGTGTTGTGTGCATAAGGTTTTCATGTAAGCTTTCACATCTCCTTTATTTTCAGGACATTTGTTGTGAAAAGAACAGCCTGTTATACTAATTACTGTACACAGCTGGTCAGTGGCATGTACCTTTTTTTTAAATGGAGAAGTGCTGAAAACTGCAAAACCTCAAGGTTACACAAACGGCTTCAGCCTAGGGACTGGCAGGATCACATGCATGCATATGTAGAAGTGGGTTTATCTTCCAAATGCATGCTGGTAGATTTTCTTTACTTGTTTACAATCCATTTGTTGGTGATATTTATATTCGTACGGTCAAATGCAAGTTCTGTTCATTACTAAATATACTGTTCTTTTCTTACAGAAAATGCAGAGCTGGTACAATGTAAGTATATATTAACAGCCTCATGTTAGGTATTTTCACTTCAGCCTACTCTACTTTGCTGATGTTAACAAACACTGATTGTGGTTTAGATATTTAACAATGAGTGATAGTCTATCCAAAGCTTATCCTAACTGCTGCGTCGGGTACTTGTCAAGTAGAATACAATGTTCTCATTTCCTGTCCTCCCCTCAGGTTCTCAGTCCTACATACAAACAGCGGAACGAAGATTTTCGTAAACTCTTTAAAAAACTTCCTGACACAGAGCGACTTATAGTGGGTGAGTGAGACTCTTGAGTGGTCATACATAATCATCTCTGTGTGCTGAGCTCATGCAGATCGAGCTACGTCTGTGTCACCACACTTTAATTAAAAAGCAACCTCTTGATTTGTCTCTTTCTATTCATTTGATCTGTCTGTTTCCTGTTTCTTTCCTCAGACTACTCGTGCGCTCTGCAGAAGGACATACTGCTTCAGGGCCGCCTTTATCTGTCGGAGAATTGGCTTTGCTTCTACAGTAACATCTTCCGCTGGGAAACCACTGTAAGTCATGCACACACTGTGTATACATTAGCGCGCGCACAATCAAACAAATGACTGTTGTAACCTGGTCCATGTCACACCTGCAATCAGATAAGAAGTCCTTTTAATGCACTTGTTTGCAGATCAATACAGATAGGCTCAGGCCCTTAGTGAGATAAGATTATCGCACAATGAAACATTCACACAGTAAATCTCTCTCCTCCGTACAGATCACTATCCTGCTGAAAGACGTGACCTCTATGACAAAGGAGAAGACTGCCAAGCTCATCCCAAACGCCATCCAGATCAGCACTGACAATGAGAAGGTCAGACTCGATTACACTTAAGATTGAGCCATAGTTTGGCCCAAAGAAATTAAGACTTTTAATTTAATGTGTAATACCAAAAGCAAATATGTCATTTTGTAACACATTCTCTATCTGTCAAGTTAACTGCTGCTCCAAAAGCATGTTGACTGTTGATACAGTTAACCCTAACTGATCCTTTTTAGTGCAAGTCAAGCAGTATCAAATGAGCTGACTCAACCGTATCTCCACTGACTGTCTCAAAGCAAACATCCCAACAGAGGGAAACCATCAGTCAAATCACATTTGTCTTCTGACTTCCTTCCTCCGACTCCTCTTCCTGTCCCCCTGATATTCCCTTTCTCAGCACTTCTTCACATCTTTCGGAGCAAGGGATCGCAGCTTCATGATGATTTTCCGTCTGTGGCAGAACGCACTGCTGGACAAGGTATAATCTCCTCTCCCACCCTCCTGCCTGCTTTATCCCGCTGCCTGTTGTGGCACGGCTAGTAGTTACCATCTTAGAATAGAACCGAGTGTGAATAAGCAGGAGATGGCCACAAACACAGGCTTGGGATGACATTTTAAATCACTGTTATTTGCTGCGTTTAAGTATAGACATGTATTTGGACAGCACCAGTGAAGAAACCCAGCAGCATAGTAATGAAGCACATGACAGTTGCCAGAAGGAATACATCGACCTAATGTTTCATCTGCAAAATGCTTTTAAACAGGATGACTCTGTTGAGAGAAATCATTAAATGCCACTTCCTGTTTTGCTGATATTATGTGTATATATAATAATAAGGTAATGAAAAGCAGCTGATCTTACAGGCTTGCAACAAAAAAGCCCAACATATGATGATAAAATGTCCTTGGTTATGAAAGATACATCTTATGTAAAGCCTGACCCTTATGAATGCACTCACTGTATTACGTTGACATTACAGTGGCTGTGTCCGGACCATTAATAATCCATTTGTTTTATTAATTCGCCTTATAATCTACTGAATAAGAATATTGTGTTTGTCTTGCAGTCTCTATCTCCCAAAGAGCTGTGGCACATCGTACACCAGTGTTACGGCACTGAGCTAGGCCTCACGAGTGAAGACGACGACTATGTCTCCCCCACCGCCGAGCACATGAACGGCCTACTGTGAGTGTTTGTGTGGTGCAAAAATGTCATTTAGGGGCAGTGCAAGGCTATCGTTGCTGTTTGTGTGCATGTTAACACACTTAACTAACCGAAAAAGTAATACTTTTGGGATGGGATATTGTGTGCCTGGTCATTTAAGTCTTTAAGTAATGCTTGAGTTGGCTAGGGAATGAATCTGCTTTTTTTGTTTGTTTATTATAATAAATACTATTCATTTTCTAATTCAAGACAACTACTATGCATCATTAACTGTGCTGTCTCTTTGTTATCTAGCATTGGGAATTTATATAGCTTCTATTTAAATGAATGTATGGATGAACATCAATACCTAAGCTTATTCTATCTAATATTACAAAAGGGAGAGTCGCCAACAAGAACAATCTTTAAAAAGTACAATATTTTTCAGTGTTATGAAATAGAGCTATTTATATCGCCCGGCACAAAAACTCTATTAATTGATTTTTGTTGTTAAAGATTTCCTTCCCCTTAAGCACTTTAATAAAACAATGGCTCTTTCTCTCTCAGAGTGTCTCTTATGTGTCTCTGTCTCACACACTCTCACTTCCTCTCTTCGTTCCCTAGGCCAGGAGACGAGTCAGTGTCGGTTACAGATCTACTCGACCTGAGCTCAGTGTCGCTTCCCTCTACGGGCAGCTCTCCCCTTCCCCTGCCCTGCGGTCCAGCCAGCCCTCTCGCAGCTACAAACCTCGGGGGCTTGTCTCCCTCCCCCTCCACCTCCTGTCTGCCCATAGAGGTGCCTTCTTCCTCTGGACGCAGGCTCAGCTCGGACCCCCTCGATCAGAGCCCGCCCAGCTCCCAAAGCTCGCTGCCGTCCACCACTCCCACAAACGCCTCGGCCTCCGCACCCGTCTCTGCTGCTGCCTCCTTTGTGAGTGTTCTTCTCGAAACTCCACACACACACTCACTCACTCACTCACTCACTCACACACACACACTTAATGGCGTTCAACAAAAACTAGTCTCCAATTCAGTGTTATGCAGTCTGATCTCATTAAATATCTTATTCGAATAACTTTATCTACAGGATCCTTGAGAAAAAGACATGCACCATATCCAAGGCTGTCATTGTTTTTGCATAAAGAAAAACTAAAAGTATGGAGAGAAAAAAGGACTGTGGACTGTTGGTACAAATACTTCCACTAGAGTTGAGACTTCCACTTTAATAATCAGATATATCACAGACAGAGCAGAACACTCCCTGCACTAAATCAACAGATTTAGCAATGTTTTGGTTTCAAAACACCAGCCTGATGTTTGCATGCTAGCATTAGCTTCGAGTCAGGGATGACTGAATAAAGAAGATTCATGGCTTCCCCTCTCGACACGAGAGATAATATATCGTCGTAGTATTTGTTGACAGCTGTATTCACTACATACTGTAGTTAGAACCAGCTGACCACGTAGAGACTGAGGACACATTATCACAACAGTCCCGTAAAGTGCAGCACAGCGCTTATGCAACTATTCACGTCAAGGTTGATGGGACTGATGTGACTCAAGACAGTTCATGTGGCAGCTATCAGTTTTCCACCTTTGACTTAAAGTAATATTGGTGCTTGTTGGGTAAAACAAATTAGAGAAGACATAAATCTAAACCTGTAACACATTTTCATGCTGTGTCATCACTGTTCACACGAAACGGATGGATGTGGTGGATCTGGTGTGTATTTAATGCCAGCGTGTGTTGTATTTGATTAACAAATCACTTGTGTACACATGCATATCCAGTACAAGCTTGCATTATTAGTGCTTAGTACTAACACTCAAATTGATGTTCTGCTTGAACCTGCTGTAATGGTTCTCCTTCATTAACTCTTCACTGGCTCTTGGACCACATGACCATGCTCAAAGATTTGGCCTTTGTACACATTTGGCCCTCTCTGCACATAAACAAAACAAATGCTTGATTTAAAAAAGCAATCATGTCGAGGACTGCAGACTTATTTGTAAAATACCTTTTAACGTGACTATGCTTATATAATGCATTATTAGATCAACATGAAAACAGATGAAAATCACATGAAACTGAATAAAATGGAATGATATGCAAATAGATCAAAATATAAAACAAGGAATTGATGACGTGTTTAAGTAAGGTTGGTGAATACTGAGTTGTTGGTCTGGTTGCTTCTATGTCCAATCCATTCCCCCCAAAACAGTAGCTGTGGTTGTCTCCTCCACTGCAGTCTTAATCTTGATAATAACGGATCAAGCCCGAGCCAAGCTGAAGAGAATACATGCAGTGCTGTGTTGACTGTGTGTCGGGTTCAGATGAATTGCTCGGCTGCAGTGGTATGTCTGCTCAGTCAACACGAGGTCAGCTCAGCAGAGGCCTCTTTCCTCTAGAGTCATATGACAATGGGGTGATTTCCCTACAAACCTCTTGCTGACTGTCCTCTGGTGTGCCTTTTTTCCCCCTCACTGCATCAGAGTCTGGAAGAGGGTGGGGACAGCTGGTCAGAGTCAACCAATCACATGCTGCCCCCGCCAACCTCCAGTCTGGGAAACCTCTCCTCATTGGACATCACCATCGATGAAGAACTGCCCACAGACCCCAGCAACTCCTCTGACACGCAAGAAGAGAGTGAGTGTGCTTTCAATGAAATAACCATTAAGAACAGTTGTGATGAAAAGTGTATACGAAGATTACAATGAACATTGTTACATTTATTTTTAATGATGTACTTCGTTAATTGATTCAACAAAAAATCAGGGACATTCTCAACACAACTTGCAGCTGATTCAGCATTTATTGTGTCTTGAAACATATTTGTTCTCATATGCTATCCTTAATACTTGTTGTGTCCTCTTTATTTAATGTACTGTGCTCTCCTAAGGTTGTTCGCTCAATCTGACTGTAAGCTAACCTTGTCTTTTTAAAGGTGCTTAGGATGATTTATTCAGTAGTTCTCTTATTGTCCCGTCTTCCTGACCCCTAATACGCTTCTTTCTGCCTCATCGCTTCCATCTCTTCTTCCTTCTACAAAAACTCTCAGGGAAGATTATTCAAACATGAACTCAGAGATATTTACTGCTCCGCGGTTTAATCTGTCCAGATCAAATTATTCCTTTGGGAGTTGATGCATGCTGTCATGGCAGATTGTCAGATGACTGATTTAAACCTGCCTCCAAGTTAATAAAATAGTTTAATATCAAAGCATATTTATTTGTGGAATATGTTAATGTGTAAACTACTCAAAACAACCTACACATTCAGGAATAACAAGACATATTGCGACAATCTGGGTTTCCTCTAAAGCATTTTGCAATCAAGTGCAGATGGAGTAAGTGTGATTATTGAAATGTCCAATGCATCTGCAAGCATTATACGTAAATCACGTACTGTTTACATTGATGTCAAAAGTTCAACATTGCAGGTCACCCTTGAAAAAGAGATCTTTTGATCTCAAGGGGCTTTCACCTGGTTAAATAAAGGCTACAAACAAACATTATATTTGGATGTATTTCTAGAGCTTGGACCTGCGAAGGATTTATGATTTAAGCATAATGACCATATATCACAGCATGAAGTGAGCTATTGCTTTTATAAAACGGTTACCAAGTGTGGCAATATGAAAGAAAAATACACACTCTAAGTTAAATCGTTTTTATTAGTAAATAATGATGTTCAAAATTAAATAGTCCCTCCGTTGCCTTCTGCACGAAACATAGTGCGAGGTGGTTGCTATGCAACAGCTAGCGAACATATTACACAGACAGCGTTGATCCATTATTTGACCATTTATTTACATTCATTTGTATGTTGCCGTTTATTGTGCACCCACTGAAAAACTGTCCAGCATCAGTAGAATGGCTTACGAGGTTACTTGTATAGGTTGAGCTGTTGCTTGGCGTGGCGAGAATATTGCTCCACTTTCTCCAGACAGTTGGTCTACCTGCTCTTCACGTAGCTCTGCATGTCGTCGTTTAGGTGCTTTTTTTTTCTGGAGATAGGCACTGCTCAATCCACTCCTCCATAGTAAGGCCACCCCGGAGGTCCAAGTTAACCTTAAATGTTTCCATCTTAAGCTTTTTTAGTTAGTTAGTTTCGTAACGGACGTAATGTAACGGTGTAGCTTTTCTCAGACACGGAGGGATACTGATTTGTGAAAAGTAACTACAATTCTACCCGTGATATACGCTCATTATATCACGGCTAAGAACCAATCAGATTGCTTGATTTGACTTATCCGTTTTATAACTCTAAATAACTAATAAATATTTACACACATTGACAAATATTGAGTCAAAATAAGATTGAAAGAAGAGTAAATAATCTGTGTTTTTATTCTTGATCTCCAGGTGAGGTGGAGTCGTTCTGCGCTGATCTGTGCGGGCGATTGCACATCAACGCCCCGGTCCGCATGAGTGTGGACAAGCTGCACGACCTGCTCTTCTCTGCGGACACACACTTCATCCGGCACCTTTTCTCCCAGCGACACTTTACTGGTAGGTCAAACACACAACTACACACACACGTATGATGGTCAAAACTTTGTGACTGCTTGGGGTGTGAGAAATTATCGATATCTTTGATTATCACGATTATGTTTTATGATACTGTATCAATTTATAATAGTTCAAGATCCGTGGTAATGCTTCAGATGGCAATATAGTATTGCTGTGATGAATTGTACAGTGACTGATAATATGCAGATACCACTGTTCCTTTTTAATTATATAACACGCTTAATTCATATGTTCTGGATAGGGAGGTGCTTTATATAAGAACTTTTCTGAAATTAGATATAACAATATATTGCCTGGCTTACAGCATTGTAACACATCGCAATGTGTTGCCTTGCCTACAGTATAGCAATATATCTAACATATAATATTGAATTGTTACCCCTTTATGATGTGTTGTGTGTGGCTTGGCCAGATTTGAGCCAATACACATCCTTAATATTTGGTTGTACAGAATTTTCCCTATGGTTAATCTACTTCTATTGAATTTTAGTGATGAATTAATAAGGTACTTTTAGTTATTATTGGGTCATTTAACCGATGTTCAAGAGATCTTTGGGAGCTCTTTCTCATGCTGTGAAACTGTTCAGCTTTGATAATTATGTGCTGTTCCTACATTGCCCAGAATTAAAGGTGGGCTAGGTAATTCACTTCAGAAACACCTTTTGTTATATTCCATGGAATGCTCTTAACATCCCGATAGCAATGAATATATTAAAGGTGGGGTAGGTAAGTTTGAGAAACCGGCTCGAGATACACTTTTTGTTATATTCTATGGAATGCTCTTAACATCCCGATCCGCAATGAATATCTTTAGTGCTTTGACAAAAAATCCATAAAAAAAGTCATCTGTGGAAGCCGTAGCGCTGTAAAAAGCACGACCAATCATCTGAGCCGGCTTAAATAACTGGATGGCCTACCTGCCTGTCAGCCTTCCATCTGTGCACAAACTTATCTCGTGCCCTCATTGGTCATGTGCTTGTTCGTGCGTGTTGGAGGAGGGACTCTGTAAGGAACTCTGAAGGAAGGGGCAGATTATTTTCGGCTTCGTACTTTCAAATTCTAGCGAACTCGAGCTGGCTTCTCCATTCTTACCTACCCTACCTTTAATTCAGCTCATAACTTGCATTAACTTGTTTCATAAGAGCAAACGCATGAGAGCCAGTTTTTCCTGTTGACACGGCGACGGTTGAGGCTCATTGTTTGTAGTCGCTCTGCTGCTTACTGGACTAGTGAGGCTGCTGTCAGTTGAAAAAGAACTTGCTCTGCTTTCTTTGTGTCTGATAGCAGAACCTGATGTTTGACATTGACTTTTGGTGCACTGCCATTGGTGTGGTTGCTACAGTCACAATGTTTACATGCACTCTACTATTGCACTGTAATTCAGAATAATCAGAAATCAGAATCGGATATCATTTTCTTGGGGATATCTTTATGCTACACCAAAGGGACCAGAGCAGATTAAAAAGGCAAAAACAATAAAGTAAATATAATATAATCAAACGTATCTACTTTAACAGGAAGCACACAAGTATATGATACTATTCAGAATGTGTGTAAAGCTCAGCTTTACAGCATATTTTGTTTGGATATTGTGAATGTAGCTGATATATTTTTTTTTTAACATCTTTGAACATGTCTGCAGTGCATTTGGAATATGCGTCTCAATTATTTTTACATCACAGGTGGCTAACATCGCCTCCTGCCTGTTTAAAGCCAGCCCTGTGTAACCAGCTAGCCACTAGTCCTGCGGTAGAGATACATGCCCAAAATAAAAGTTTGTAAATTACAATTTTGATGCCAAGACGCGCAATATTTGTATAATTTGTCAAATTCATTTTAATTGGTGTCTTATAAATGCAAAAAATACTGACTTTGTTTATAGTCAATATTGGATATCCAGTAGCAAAATAAAAAGTACACTAGCAAACCTCTTTACTTTTCATGTGCTGATGTTTTTGCTTTTTAAAGGTATATTTGTTGCTCACATGAAGCAGCTGTGCCCCTCGGTCCAGCTGATGAACACAAAGCAGTGAAGTAATGGGGCTGCGCTATTAATCAAATATTTATGAAGATTTTGCCTTTTTAACAATAGTGAAACAAGTTTTTCAATATTGACCCAATATGTTTGCCATAACGGAGCAGCCGTGTGAGGACCACCCAGCCCTCAAAGACTTGCTGTAGCGTGTTGTGCTTCTAATGAGCGTGCCACAATATCTGTTTACGCTGCGTTAACCGCCCTCCATTACTGGTTTTGAATATCCTGCTTTGCCTCTGTAATCCTATTATTTTCTATGTATCTTCACCGGAGGTCATCTTTGCATCCTGTATATTGTAAACCTTGTTTCTGCAGTAGTTTGAACGACGTCAGAGGTGAAGCTTTGGAGTTGATGTGTTCAGTGTCTGCCCCAGTTGGAAGCCCAGCCCACTTGGGAACATTGTGTAGCTCTAATTGGGGCATTTATTTCTTCCTTTTTTATGCAAGAGTGTGGATGGACATGCTGTTCCTCTCACTTTGTAAACTCCCTTTAATCCTTTGAAATGTCTTGGTCTCTCTCATTATTTATAAATACAATCTTTAACAAAAAGCACACTAACCCTAACCACTTTTTTTTAACTTTCTGTCATTTGTTCGCTCATGACGTGCTAATTTTCCCTCTCTCTCTCCCTCTCTTTGTCTCTCTCTCCTCTAGACCTCTCTGTGGGTGAATGGCAGCCGGACATCAGCAGTGGGACGACGAGCCGTGTGCTGAGCTACACCATCGCCCTCAACAACCCCCTCGGCCCCAAGACGGCCCCCGTGGTGGAGACGCAGGTCAGTCCACGGGCTTCACCCAATGCTTATTTAGCTTTAAATGGAGGGGACATTCCTCTATAATTTATGTCGTTGTGAAGTTTTGTAAATGTTTGCTTTGTAATGTTTGGGTCCAGTTAGTGATCCAGTGCAGGCACCAGTACTTCAAATAAGTATACACTTGGCTTTTAATCTGTGAATTATGCTGTATTGCTGTTTTAATAACTTTTAAGTGTTATTTTATCATGTTTTATCACCACTGTAAAGCGTCTTTGAGCACCTGGAAAAGCGCTTTGAAATGCAATGTATTATTATTATTATTATTACACGTTACAAAAACAATACAGCTTTAAAATCTTAAACTCCATTCAGAAATAAAAAATCTACACTCTTAAAAAGAATAAAACATAATTCTGCTATAAAAACTAGTTATAAGATGGGGGTATTTTGTGAAGTAGAAGAACATTTTGAATATTGAGAAAATGTTTTGGTTTCATAATTAGTCACATTTTCTTTCAAAAACGTCAAGATGTTGGGACATATCCGTGTGGTATATATTACGCAAATGTTTTTTGACAACTCAACAATACGAACTGGCATTCGTTGTAACACCGACTTACATATCCCTGAAACATTTACACATTACGGTCTATACTGAATATGGACCAGAAAAGATCAGACACACACAGAGAGACGGAAGGACAGGTTGTGCCATAAAATAAATATGAAACTCTCAGGTGGAAAGAAGAGCCAGCTGTCATTAAGATGGGAGGAGATGTGGTATGGTTTCTTCTGCAAGACGTACATTTTTGCCCAGGATTATTTACAATAAGAGTGATGGAAAAAGTAGAGCGAAGAATAGAAAAAGAGACTGAGAGAGTTCATTTTCTCAACATAAGCATACCATGGTGGCGTAATCGTTTCAGAAAGTTACAGAAATTGTCACAAACGGCCCCTTCCTTCCTTTTGGATGTTGAAAAAGTGTTAGTAGAGCAACAAAGCATACTGGTGTCTTTAGAGCTCTGAATTCATTATCTACCAATATGCCATAACTCAGTGGTGAACCGTCAGGGCCTTCAAGGTATTCAGAGAATTCACTGGAACACTCAGATAAAACAAACAAAATATAGATTTAATTATATAAATATAATTGTATCAAATGTATATTAAATGAGAAACGTATCCGTGTTGTTGATTTGTAATATTACAGTGTTACGTTGATTTGTGTGTCTCTTTTGGTGTGTGTGTGTGTGTGTGTGTGTGTGTGTGTGTGTGTGTGTGTGTGTGTGTGTGTGTGTGTGTGTGTGTGTGTGTGTGTGTGTGTGTGTGTGTGTGTGTGTGTGTGTGTGTGTGTGTGTGTGTGTGTGTGTGTGTGTGTGTGTGTGTGTGTGTGTGTGTGTGTGTGTGTGTGTGTGTGTGTGTGTGTGTGTGTGTGTGTGTGTTGTGTGTGTGTGTGTGTGTGTGTGTGTGTGTGTGTGTGTGTGTGTGTGTGTGTGTGTGTGTGTGTGTGTGTGTGTGTGTGTGTGTGTGTGTGTGTGTGTGTGTGTGTGTGTGTGTGTGTGTGTGTGTGCGTGCGTACAGAAGGTCCAGTTGTGATAGACACGGTTCGCCACTGCCATAAGTTTAACTGTAGATTGAAATGTTTCTGTTGTGTATCAGAGGAACCCAAGCATACCATACTGTACCCTCCACTTTCTTCCTGCTTCCAGACGTTGCATAAAAACAGCACGCGGGGCGAGTGCTTCGTGGTGGACTCAGAGGTCATCACCTCAGGGATCCCCTACCAGGACTACTTCTACACCGTCCACAGATACTGCCTCACCTCCATGAACAAACACAAGAGTCGCCTCAGGTACGTTTGCTCTTGTCTTATTGGTTCAAGCATCGTGAGTGGCATTTTGTTCAGCTCTAAGCTCACCCATTGACTGTTTAAAATCCACCGCCAAGAGAAAAGCAAGATGTGTCAATCACACTCGTGTTGAATGTGTTGCTTTCCTTTGAGAGCTTGTCGACTAGATCCTGTTAGTGTTGATTATCTGCCTCTTTTAGGCAATATTTTTAAAAACTGGGCATTTTAGTTTCATTTTATTCAAAGAAAAACAACAGTTTAGTCTACAGAAACTATTGTAATCTTTAGTTGTATTAATCAGGTTGTATTTGAAATGTCACTAAATGTTGTCATATCAGCTTGTTTCTAAACCACAGTTTAGTTCCTTCTTTTTCTCTTCAACGATATTACATGTGGATATAGTCAGAATGATGTTGGTGCTGTCTCTTCATTGACGAAAAACAACACTAGCTTATTTTAATGAATTTAACTGAACACAATATAGGGTGTAAAAGCAGAACCCAGTATATATCAGTGGGGTATGAATATGAAGTGACTAGGCTGGGTGCAAACATATATGTGGAAGTGCAAAAGAATCAAAGCTCAAGAGCAATAACAGTTTAATTGTAACTGTACCAAAGGTCCGTACTGAACTTGGGAAAAGGGCGTTCAGTTACGCTGCCCCTCAAGCTTGGAACCTGCTTCAAACTGAGCTGAAACTCAGAGAGCTGGTCTCATTAGAAACACTCAAAGCAACTTTAACTGACCTTGAAGCAGGCTGCTGTGTCTGTAAATGCTTTGGCTAAACTTGGGGTATGACTGTGTTGTGATTGTTTGTAACTGTAAAACTGTCTGAAACTGTGCTGTTACCATTCTTGGGCCAGGACTCTCTTGAAAAAGAGATTTTTAATCTCAATGAGACCTATCCTGGTTAAATAAAGGTAAAATAAAATATAAACTGGGACTCGTCTAATAAAGCTGAGCAGCTGCTAGTATTGAGTTTCTACTGATCAGACAGTATAATCCACTTGCTTTGGAACACAGAAACCTGATGTCTTAGGAAATCTGTTGACTAAAGTCCTTAGGTAAAAACCCGAGCTGACTGATTGATCCGGGTTAAGTTGTTCAGATTGTAGGAATTGCAAGAATCTTCGCTGGCCATCTGCACAAGTCCCTGCTTGTTATCAGGCACGGGTTGAAGTCATGGAAAATGTGTGATATCACTAACTGAGAACAGAACTGATGTAAAGCAGAAGTGTCCTTGATACAGAATGTGAGAGCTTTTTCTTTGTGCGTGTCCATATTGATGTATATATATATATTAAACATGTGTTTGTTTTATTTTCCTTTGCCCAGAGTTTCCTCAGACATCTGCTACAGGAAGCAGCCGTGGAGCCTGGTGAAAGCGTTGATAGAGAAGAACACCTGGAGCGGCATAGAGGAGTACTACAGACACGTGGGTGAGTCACATGGGCCGCCTCCAGCTTATCCCTGTATACACGAAGGGTGTTTCTCAATGTCGAGTATGCTTGCTTGGTAGCACATGTCTTCTGAGCGTCTTGCTTCAGAAGCGAGGCAAGAATACTTCCTGGCATTTGAAAAACGAAGAGTGGAACAGGCGAGCAAGTGTGCAGGTGTGCGTCATATGAGAGGCCCCGCCTTACATTTTCCGCCACAGATTTGGGGAAATTGGTCCGTGCGCGAAGCATTGTGGGGATTTGAAGACCGCGGAGTCTGCACAGGTGCAGCCTCGAAATTTCTCCAAAGAAGTACGCCAGGCTCGGTTGAATTCCAAGTATGCTGGACATTGGAACTGTACTTCGGCGGCACTCGATGACGTAGTATGCTTGAAATAGTGGCTCTGCAGCAGCTTTACTCGAGATTGAGAAACACCCACAGACTTTGGAAACCCTATTCAGCCTTATTTCCCTTTTGTGAATAAGTGAACTAAAGTGAAGCTGTGTGAGCAGAACACACTCCACATGAAAGCCAAATGCACAGTTTCATATTGCAGACCACAATACATAATGTCCATTTGTCCATGAGTGTTGTAGCTTGAATGTGTTAGCAAGCATACTTTACCCCTATTACGGAGCGTCCACACTACAGCTTCAAAAAAAGCTTGGAGCTGGGCGTGTCTGAAGCTTGGGGATGTTATTCAAGCAACACGACCAACAACCAATCACATGAATCTCCCGCCCCCGACATACAAAGCAAAACCCCCCAGGGATTTTATGGGAGCAATATATATATATAAATATAAACTCCCCAAACAGGCGAAAACCTACCAGTTTCACCCACTGTCTCTGCCACCTCCCTCCATGCCTGGTTCCTCCGGTTTGTATCCCGGTAGGTGAAGAGGGTCTGGTCATACAAACCCGGGTGATTTGCTACGGCGATAATTAGTTTCTCCTCCATCTTTTTTTGAAATATAGAAATGAACGGCGGGATATCTCTCCCAGCTTAGACGCGGTTTGATTGGCTAGGGCTTGAGCTGTCAGATTTTCCGAAACGGGATTTGATTGGCTGGCGCTGGCTACTCCGGCGTCTCCGGCGTCAGAAGTTGAACATTGTTCAACTTCTGACGCCGGAGACGGACCGCTCTGCTACCCACAATTCAGTTCGGCGAAAAAAAGCGGCAACGTGACGTTACCCCATTCAAAGTGAATGGGCAGATTGAAGCTGTCGACGCTGCAGACGCTGTAGTGTGGACGGCCCGTTAGTATCACCCGTGTGAGTCACTACTACTTTCTCTTCTATACAAAAGACGAGAGTCTGCTTAAGTGGCCAAAATCCTTTTTGTTTATAAAGATAAACTTGTTATTTTTCCACAGATTAAGGCTTTTAAAGTTTAGTAATGATTGTTGGAACTAAAACCACCAGACTCAGGGACAGTTTCATCCCACAGGCAATAAGACCGTTAAACACCTGAACTGTTGAAACAACATCCACAATATTCATCTGGCTGCTACTTAAAAATTATTTATCTATTTACCTAATATATCATATTTCAATGACTTGCATGTAGACTCTTATTGCACTATTTTAAACTATTTTTCTTCTTGGATTTACTATTTACTATATCTGTCTGTTTATCTGTGTTTTGTGTTGCACTGTTGGAGAAACCTCTGACACAAGATTTTCATCGACATAACTACACTGAAGCTATGTTCGTCTGACAAGTAAAGAACCTTGAACACAATACAATCTATACGGAAAATGTTTTTAAATAGCTTTAATTGTTTTTAAATTTCTCCTTCACTCAAAAATGTGTTCTGTTTATCGTCTCTCCACTTCACTGAGCTTCAGTGTTCAGATTGAATGTGTGCATAGTTTGACATTAGGAGGTTGTTTTCTCATTTATCTTCTGAAGCTGGAAAGTTTCTCTGTGTCGACTTTAAGATGCGGGTACCACTTTACAATAAGACTACCATTATAAAGGATTCATAAAGGGTTTATAATTAGGTTATTAATTAGGTTGTAAACACTTTATTAATAATTAAGAACCTTTTATAAACCAGTTCTAAAATAGTTTTCAAACATCAACACAGGCTCACTATTTGGCAAGATGACTAAGCCTTATATTGGCAACCTAGCTTACTTCGTGTTCTTCATCAGCCAGCATCCTTGGTATCTGTTGTTCACTGAGTTGATTCCCCCCTTCCATCTTGATGTTTCTTGGCATCTCGTTATGACCATTTATTTACGAGTTACTAACATTTATAACTGCCAAAAGGGAGCCTTATTGTAAAGTGTAAAACACATTCCCATGTATTAATGAGTTACTATACCTTTTCTAATAAGGCTTAGCAGTACAGATACATGCGGGCTCACTATTTGCCAAGCAACCGGTCACAGTTGCCCTGTTCATCTTATGTCTTATAAAAGCTTATTAATGATTTATAAAGTGTTCACAACCTAATTAATAAACGATTTACAAACTATTCGTAAACCCTTTATAAGGGTAGTCTTATTGTAAAGTGGTACCAAGATGTGTATGCATGAGCAGGATTTTTAAATCACTTTTAGCTTGTCAATCATAGTACCATTACAATGACACTGCAAGTATGATGCAGAGATGTAAAACCTTGCACTATTATCTTGTATCCGGTCGTTAGTCCTCCAAAGAAAACATGAATTTCAACCTTACACCTCCGTACTCATTTGTCAGCAAGTGTGGTAGATGTTTTGTAGATTACAGGATTGTACTTTTTGTTCAATCTGTAGTTCAAACAACTGCCCTAGAACTGGTAAAAACTAGACTTTATCTGGTGGAAAGGCAGTGAACTGTCTGTGAACTCAAACATTATGTTGATACAAAGATTCTTGATAATCTTCAGAGTTTCCCTTTTTAATAGATTGTTCAAACATGAGTTTATGGTTTTCACATTGTGTTACAAGAGCTTTGCCCAACAATACACACACACACACACACACTTAAACTATTACATAAATAAGACAAAAATGTGCTCTTGTATAAATTAACAAGTGTCAAAAAGTATTTAGTGAACCATTTAGAAGTTTTGTTTCTCATTTAGTATGCACTTTCTTTCCTTAAAATGTGTTCTGCCAGTATTTGAACCTCAACCTTACGTTTAAAATCCTTCATTGTTTCGTTTTGCAGAGAGTGAAGTGATGAAACTCGAGACGCTAATGCAAACGGAGGTTACCGTGGTTACCACAGGCGAAGCAGTGGGTGCGGATGCTGCCATGACTCCCCCGTCTCTGCGCCGCCGCAAACGCACATGCTCTCGACGGCAGGGCGAGAAGGACCGGGAGAGGGAAGGAGGAGGCATGGGCGGAGGAGACCGAGGGGACAGAGGAGTCGGGGAGGACCGGGACCGGAGAGAAGCCAGTAAGTCCAGGGAAACAGTCCATGAAAAGCTTTGGGTCAGCGCTTGGAATTTAAATCATTGCCACCAACAATGAAGCTCGTGCCAAAAGTCTGAATCTATCTTCTGTGCGAAACTGCCATCTAGTGGTTTGTTTTAGATTCTGCACAGAAACAGAAACTATTGCCTTAAAAAAGAGACTCAAGCTCCGTCATTTATTTGCAGCTCTTGTGTCTTCATCACAGTCGACCTAGACTACGGCTGTCTCTGGATAACCGATTGAACATGATTTCATATTTGGATAATTAATTTAAGGATGAAAGTGACGGTAGTACAAAGTCTTGCATTTTTTTTTAAATGCTGTCTCAAACCAGAGGTCTTGCTAAGCAGCATTAAATAATCATGATCAAAACATTCAAAGTTATTATGAACAGCTAGTAAAAAACGAAATGGCATTATACATGTATTGCTGTTGATATACCTTACTCTAAAGGAAATCTGTTCACTTTGCATTCATTTCATTTCTAGATGTGGTGATGATAAAGGCTTTGAGAATCTAGACAATTCTAGTTTAGGTACTGTACCTTATATAAATCCATAAGGAGAATATAATGGACAACATTTTGGACTTGGGGTAACTTGTGGAATTTACAAATGATACATTTTTACCTTTTTTCATTTTGTATTGACTTATTAAAACTTAATTATCACAATGATCAACACAATGCTCAGTGAAAATATTTCTTGTCATTTGTCTATTTTTTCAGGTGGTCAGTTTATAAAACTAGGAGAGCGCTCGCGTGGTGGAGGACCCAACAGTATATCAACCATCCTCCTCATCGTGAGCTTCATGTAAGTTCAAGCATGTGTGTACCAGGGTTTCCGCTAGGATTTTTTCTCGCCGGTCAAATGTCCGGGCAGAATTTATTTTACCGGATAAATTTGAAACTTACCGGTGATATTTCACTAATAATAGTAAGAGTTGTGTAGCAGAGTTTCCGTTAGCAGGTAATTACCGGACTATGACCGGATATGCTGATGTTTAAAACTCAGTTCACGGGGCTCATTTTTATATCGCTTCAGTTTATAATCGTAACAGATCGAAAAAATTCAGATTCATTTTTCAATAAATGATTCCACAAACAACAAACAACATAATTATTACATTCAAACAAACTACTTGTAGTAGATAACGTACATTATTCAAAAGTTTACATTAACTTTGAATAATAACACGGGAGAAACGGATCCTCTCTTTTCCCCTCTCCCTCTCTCTCTCTCTGACAGCCCGTCAGTTTATCATGCAGCTCCTGCAGCTCGCTAAACAGAGGCGGGGCTTCAGGTGATCATGCAGAGCTGCGTGTCTCTGTCAGACTCAGCAGCTGATCTGATCTCTCTCTCGGGTCCGGTTACACTTCACTCGCGTTTATTTCCATATCGATCAGATCCAGCTCTCCTGATCGTCCTTTATAGAGAGCAACGATCAAACTATTAAGAGTGAATATCGGCCGATAATGACCAGTGGCCGATCTATCGGAGCATCCCTAATTATTACCAGACATTTTGACCGGCAGGTTTTGAATTTACCGGTTTTGAATACATTTTACCAGCTAAAAACCGGTAATTACCGGCTAACGGAAACCCTGGTGTGTACTGTGTGTGCTGTGTGTACAATGTGTACTATGTGTACTATGTGTACTGTGTGTGTGTGTTTGTGGCATTGAATCCATGAATACTGGCAGCCTTTTCTGGCTGTTTTTAACTCAAGGTTGTTTCTAGCATGTTTTATGTGTTTACTGCACCACAATGTTATGAATCTCATGTCTTATTTGTGAGTTATCTTACACACAATGACCTACTTTTAAACAGAGAAGAACATTCATAAATAAAGATTATGTTATATAAGAAAGGGACTTCCTGTGTGCTCAGCAACACACACAAAGCATGTGTGCGTCCTTGCATGCGGTTGAACTCCTCGGTAAAACAGGATGTCCTTTCGTATATTAATATCTATCTAATATAGGGGAATTCATGAGTTCCTACTTGATCAAATCCCAGGTTTGATTGTGTATTTCTGATTCTATCTGCTTTCTGCTGTCTTGGTTCTATCCACGTCTGAATGCTCCTTCACTCAGACGTGTTGGATATCGATCTTCTGCATACTAACAGCCTCACAATGCCTCTCTTGCTATTTCTCTTTCCCTTTCTCTCTGCAATACTTGTGAATAGGATCTGTATCAGGTTCGTATGACAGGATTTGCTTTTTATACTGCTGGCTGCTTAAAATAAGGACTTTGTAAATGACACAGGAAAAATCCACCCTTTGATACTCTTAAGATGCACTCAAATTGAGCATTAAGAAGTTCTATATCTCTAGTGGGATGCAACACAGTAGGACCATATTCTGTTCTTTTGTGAGGGACATTAGTGGCGGGTGGATTTTTCCTCCAAATGAATGTACGTGTGTTGTGAACGAGTGCAGTGTTGTGAATTGACAAACACTCAAATATTCCTCTCCACCCTCTTTTTTTGTCAGTAGTATTGACATTTTCCTTTTGCAGTTCATATCTTACTGTTGTTTTCACATTGATTTGAAGCACTTTTAAAGCCATTGGTAAATGAGACTATTTTCTTCCCTCTCGCCCCGGTCAGTCTGGTGGTGCTGGTTGCTCTCAACATGCTGCTCTTCTACAAACTGTACGCTTTGGAAAGAGCGGCCCATACACTGGAGACATGGCACTCCTACTCTGTTGCTGACAGGTAAACACACCACACCACTTTCTATACCAACATAGACTCCCTGTTGTGCGGTAATTGCTGTGCGTGGCCTCAACGTGTCCTTGTGGGATTTGAGTTGTGATATATGTCCCTCAGATATTCCATAGCAGCAGCAACTCCTCTCGTGCCTTTAGAAGATGAAAGCCTAATTATTATGTTATCAATATCAACGATAGATCACATTCAAAAACCAAAATGTGTTACTGTTGTGTCATTTTGGTTTAACATCCTGCAAGTTATCGGGTTACTTCACTCTCACTTGTCTCAGTGCAGGAGAAATATTTAATAATAACATGTCTAAAACTGTACAGCAGACAGACTAAGTAACATGTGGGCGGTGGAGCATTTAGCAACTAAAGAGATATTCACGTCAGGAGTTGCTGGACACCAAACAGAGCTGAAGGGAGAGCGAATATTAGACTTTGAGTATTACTAATGCTGCTCTGCTCCTTCTGAATGTGTTGATAAACGTCTGTATTCTAACATTTCCTTCGTAAGAACAAAAGTAAAAATATCAGTGTTGAGTATACAGTTCGTTTTTATTAGCCCCTAGTGGACAAACTGCTGGTTCAGGTTAAAGACCCATGACTACACTGCTGACTATTTGCTTTCTGAAGTTGTAATGGCGGTTCCTTCGCCCTCCTTCTCCCTCCTCTCTGCAGTCCTTTGCCTCAGACAGCTGGGGAGTGGGCTCAGGTTTTGCAGCTTCAGAGGCAGTTCCACCAGGCTCAGCTCAGCAAGTGGCAGCAGATCCTGCAGTCCTCTGTCACGCTTCTTGACCAGGTGTGTGTGTGTGTGTGTGTGTGTGTGTGTGTGTGTGTGTGTGTGTGTGTGTGTGTGTGTGTGTGTGTGTGTGTGTGTGTGTGTGTGTGTGTGTGTGTGTGTGTGTGTGTGTGTGTGTGTGTGTGTGTGTGTGTGTGTGTGTGTGTGTGTGTGTGTGTGTGTGTGTGTGTGTGTGTGTGTGTGTGTGTGTGTGTGTGTGTGTGTGTGTGTGTGTGTGTGTGTTAATTTGACCCGTTTGTAAGTAATTACCTCTGCAGGAACCAGTCAGCAAGAAAGCTCATGTGCCTCACAAACGGCGTGTGCTTAATCGTTACTGCATTATGTAATCCAGTAGAGTTTATTTCTGTATCACATTTTGGGCACATGGGCAATTCAGTGTGCTTAACTAATACAAAAAGCATCATCCATATAGAAAGTATGATTGAAACAGCATATCTCAACCAACCTTTCTCTCACCCCCATCCATGTTTATCTCCCAGATGAAGCATTCTTTAGAAAAGCTCCACCATGGCATTGTGGTCCCAGAGGTGCAACAGGATGAAACCATCACAGAGCCAATGACTGAGGCCTGAGCTCCCCCCCCCCCCCCCCCCGATCTCTGAACACACCCTGGGGGGGGGGGGTAGACTTTTGGTCGACTTTGATCAGCACAGTTTGCTCTTTCACATTTCCAATTCAAATACCAGAAGAGGGAGACGGAGGGGACTACATTACCCACAACTCTCCTCGCCTGACTGACTTGAAATGGCGACGTTCGCCTTCAGCCTCAACCAGTAACATCTTCAGTGAACTCTTTCTGACTGGGCGCTTTCAGGACCACAGCGATAACTCACCTACAGCTGCTAGTCACCTGTACGTAGGGTTTGGAAGCGGGCCACTGGTGGGCCCATTCCAAACCATCCACTCCTCAACTATCTCAGAGACATTTCAAAATGGCTAACCGCGCTTCAGAAAAACTTTAATTCAGACCTCCTTAATTTTCAGAACCTCAAAATGTTCATGACTTTAAAAGACTTCAGTTGGACATGCAACATTTCCCAGAGAACAATGACTCTTGAAAGCGGGAGCTCTTCCTCCTGGTCCTGGGAACAGTTAGTCTTTAGTGAACGCCTGCTGAAAACAAGATGGAGGATGGGACAAACACCCAGAAAGAGACGGGAGCAGGACGCCTCTAGGTCTTTCCTTCACAGATTTGTTCCTCCATATCCGGGTTGATCCCCATTTAAAAGCCGCTGTTCCTCTCAAAGGGGATGAGGAACATTTCAACACCAGACACTTTAGTTTTCTCCTTTTTTAGATGTGAATTACACACCTGAGGTTTAATCTCAAACACCATCCCACTCCTCCCTGTCTTTTTTCGGGGTTTTAACTTTTTTCAAAATCAGTGTGTTGGGTCGTTGTTTGGACAGGAAGCTGCGTCTCACTGGACTGCTACAGTATTTATTATTACCGATGACTTGATCTGAAATCCTGTCCTGCTCTTAAGAAGTCATACGGTGGGTATTTTGTGTTGCTCTGATATGCTGTTGCAGTGCGGACCAAGAGGAGCTACACGAGAATGGTTACTGGTCACAGCAATAATGACAATAGTGATGCTAGTACTTTTTGAATGTTTCAAACAAAGTAGTATATAATAATAATAATAATAATAATGATGAATTGTGTGTGAATGTGTGTAGAGGCAGTGAAAAAAACAAGCAAAGAAGACTTGACGGATGTGTGGGTTTGTGTTCATGAGGAGTCCTCAATGTTTCAGATGTTACATTTTCACATTAGCGTTTATTTGAGTTTTTCTTTTTTGAGATTCCTCTGTCATGTTTGCTCGCTCTTTGTATGACAGAGCCAGAGCCTAAACGCTCTGGATTCACTGTAGACTTGATCAAAAAACCAGAACAGTCCGCTACTCTGTTGTCCCACTGGGCCGGACGTCTCCAGACAAGAGGACCAACCAGAATCTAGTAGGCCCAGGTGAAGAAAAAGGGAATCTGTTTTGCAGTATTGTTTTTGTGTGTTTGTACATTTAACTTGACTGACTTGTCTCCTCTTTTTATTCCGTTCATTTTCTATCTTTATAATTGTCGTTTATTTTCAGCCTGTTGTTTCATCCCACTCCAATCTGTGTCGAAACATCCCACTCTTTTGTTGATTTCTTCTTCTTCTCATCACTCACCCCCACTCTTTCCTCTATGTGCTCTTCCCCCTCTCTCTCTCTCTCTCTCTCTCTCTCTCTCTCTCTCCTCTCTCTCTCTCTCTCTCCTCTCTCTCTCTCTCATCCTCTCTCTCTCGCTCTCTCTCTCTCCTCTCTCTCTCTCCTCTCTCTCTCTCTCTCTCTCTCTCTCCTCTCTCTCTCTCTCTCTCTCTGTTTCACTGAAAATGACGGCAACAGAAGCATGTGGGCCACGCTGTGCATGGCCATCCGCTGATAGCAAAATGGTGTAATATTTATTGAGGGGGGGGGGACAGGGTTTGGGGAGGATTAAGAGAGAGAGAGACGGATGAGTAGCGGGGTTGATAATGTACTGTAAAGATGTGATTGTACACCGCACCATGGAGAGAAATGAAAAGTTCTAAAACATACAACTGCTCGTCTGAGTCTGTCTTTACCTTCTCAAAGTTTGCACTGGATTGTGAGGGAACTGTTATTTTTCCTATAGATTATTGTGGCTGTTATTTGGTTTAAAATGGGTTTTGAATAGGGAAACAGAAGTCCAAAGCCTAAATTATCAGATTCAAATGTCTTCTTTTGTCCAACCACGTTTCCAAAATCCTAAAAGTTCAGTTTATATTATATAAGACAACGAAAAGGCAAATATTTCAATTTGAGAAGCTGGAGCCAGCAATATGTTTCACCTAACTTTAGTGAACAATGCTATTACCTGCTGTTGTTTAGTTATGAATATAAGCATGTCATAAATAAATTAGACTAAATGTCCTGACGCAAACACAGCTACCATGAAAAGAAAGACTCAACTGATTTTCTCCCTTTTTATTTATTTGCCGTGCATCACTTTTCTTTTCCTTTTATTGTGGCAAGCAACATTTCCACACATGAAGTAAAAACTGCAGTTTTAGTTGAAAGAAAAGGGGGACAGACCAACGATGTGGGGAGCAGCGTGATTTTCATGTGACTGGTCGGTTCATCTGTGCAGGAAAGGTGTATTAAATGATTTAAACTAAAAGAGAAGCATTCAGTAAGCAGTATGTAACAGTTCTTGATTGAGTGGCTTTCCCTCTTCGTATTTATTAAAGTCATGGCTTTCTTTTTTAGCCTGTATATCTTAGGACAGTACTCCGACAGCACTCCTTCCACGTCAGTAAGCGTGCAGTGATTCTGTGTTACTGTGTCAGCTGGTGTGTGTCCCCTTCTCAGTTTCTCAACTCGTGTCAAACTCAGATTTGGTACAAAAAGAGATGAACACTAACAGCAGTGTTTGCCCTCCAGTGTTCATCGCGAGTAACTGGCCAGCTGGAAAGAGAACTTAGTAGCTATGTTTTTATTAAAAGCACTAAAGATTTGTAACCAGGCTCCACCTCTGTCCTTTCCCTTTTGGTTTCAGCCTGGGAGGCACACTGGACAGGTTGTGTGGGGTATTAACCCAGCAGTTAGATCAATGCAGCCATTAGCAACGTGTTTTCCAAATTTCACTGAAATTAATATTTTAGAAGGAAAAAACAAAACGTTATTACATTTTGATCGCTGATCATCATGATCTCTTGGGGATGTAGAGAAAAAGTAAAAACGTTACTGTTGTCTGGGAAGTTAATGGGCCTTTTTATGTGAATTTCTCGTGTGAGAGAAGAACCCGCTCTGGAGACAACTTTTGGAGACCATTTACACGCACATATCATGTACATATCAACGTTCTCATATCAGCTTAGTTCAAATATGTATGTAAAAAATGTCAGAAGTAAATAAGGGCTGGATCTGTTGCCAGTCGGGGTTAACGTTTAGAAATTGGTCAGCTGTGAGAACACTGCTGATATAAAGGATTTGGTATTGTCTCTCATTCTGGCCGAAATGCTGTTTTCAGAGACACTTTCAGGCTATTTTTGATAAAAAGTTGACAAATACTTGATACTCAGGCATGAAAACTGCTCAAATGTTTCATAGCAGGAAGGATATCAGCAGTGTTTCCTCTGTATGCCTACAATCCCACTGTGTTACATCACAACAGCAAGTACATTTCCAGCCAAATTCAGTCTTAATAGTATAATAAGTCAAAGTAAAATACACCTTAAATATATTATTTGCTTTTAAAATATTGATTCATAAATACAAATATTTGATATGTGCACCAAAGCTTCTAAATACCAACATTTGAAGCTTGATGTTGGTCATTTGGATTAGCTTAAGCATGCAGATAGTGGATAGTCAATATAGGTCTATATTATTTATATAAGAGTATCTGTGCATATATACATACAGTTCTACCCTCTATCTCTTCCTGTTAAACCACAAGCTGATGCATCCATCTTGTCCTCCAAACACGATGCAGTTCAGTCCTTTCCATCTTTTTGCAGATAGTCGAGTGAAGATCTGTGTCCTCTCTGTGGTTTAGTTAGACTCGAGTGTCAAAGTGGGAATATGAGATTCCTCAAGGAAGACATCTGGAATTTTCGACCTCGACCTGAGGTACAAAACATAAACCTGTCAGCAAAATTGATAAAGTAAAAGGTAAACAATCTTAATATATAAATAAATACAACACAGGTAGGGGGGTAGCAGCTCAGAAAGGTAGGGTGGGGCCAGGCCATTGAGGGATTTAAAAGTAAATAAGATAATTTAAAAAATAAATCCTAAAATGTATGGGCAGCCAATGGAGCGACGCCAAAATGGAGGAAATGTGCTCGTAAATGGCATGGAATATTGCACAGTTTAAGCTACGTGTATGGTGCGCCAATCTAAATGCTGATCTTGTCTTATCCTAGTTATTCATTCACTATCAAATCGTTATATGTTAAGGCAAAAACGTGTCGAATGGCACTCTAAATTGTTTTCATTGTGACTAAATCCAAATAATAATAATCCAAATATTTAATTGCATTTATTTTAACGCTTTTACAAGTGCTCAAAGCGCTTTACATTATATCAGACATGTAATACATCAATACTGTTGACAACACGCACAGGAGCAATTAAGGGTGAAGTGTCTTGCCCAAGGACACAGCAGCATGCTGACTGCAGTGGGGGAGTGTGGGGGGCGGGGGGTCAAGGTGGGATTGAACTGGTGTTCCCAGCCTGATCTGATGATCAACGCACAGCTAACTGCGCCACAGCCCAAATAACCTCTTCTCTAACTTGTTCCCTAATTGAGTAATTTTCCTGCACCTAGCATAAAATAGGATTGGATTAACACACAACTACCTCTATAATCATGGGTGCACATAACTTTTTTGCCCTGGTTCTCAAAGGAGCACCTGGAGATGTTGCTTGGTGCTCATCCTTAAAATGAAATAAACCGTAACTTTTGAGGGGTCTTGACTTTATTTGCCAGACAAACGGTACTGAACACACATGCAGAGGTGAACACAGAACACACATGCAGAGGTGAACACAGAACACACATGCAGAGGTGAACACAGAACACACATGCAGAGGTGAACACAGAACACACATGCAGAGGTGAACACAGAACACACATGCAGAGGTGCACACAAGACAACATTAGCACGACCAGTAATCCTACAAGCTGTCATCACTACCCTCCTGACTGTTCTCCTCACTGTCTTCCTCTCTGTCAGACATGGTAGCTGATGATGTAGGCCTACTTCTTTCTCTCTGGTTGAGTCTGGGATTAGCTGCTTGCATCCACAAGTCAACAGCTGGGTTTGGGTCGAAAGTCTCTGTTGTCATCTTAGACAAGTGGATGTAATCAAATAAGTATGTGAACATAACCAATAGCCTACCATAGCCAATAACAAATTAATGTAACTTATTTTATTTGTGTTGTTCATTCATATCTTATTTTACCTTAACATTTATTTATTTATGCATTTTTTTTTTATCTCCAGTTTTAAAGGATATTTTTGGTTACTGTCCTATAGTATACATTGGAATGATTTAAAACCTGTTTATCCCAATAATTACAAAGGAGTGCCTTGGAAATATGTGTTTACATAAATTGTGACCAAACCGTTTGAACTTAGACTAAGAGTCCTTTACCTCACTGAGCTGTAGTTAACTTATCAGCCTCTCAGTCTGACTGGAGAGGACTCTCCCTCCACATTATTGTAGAAACATCTTCTTCTTATCTCCGTTAGAGCAGCTAGCACAGCACCAGATTATAATAATGTAACGTTCCCAAGATGAGTCGGAGACAGGCTTATAGTTATTAGGCTTTAATAACTAGTATTTGTAGACAGATGATAACAGGTCAAGTACACTTCGTGGGTTCTACCGCACACTAACTTATTTCCTTATTTCCTGTCTACGTCACAACTTCCCGCCCTCCCCCGTCCGCTCCACCAACCACAGGCCCGCACCTCAGCACACCCTCCCTCTCTCTCTCGCTCACTCGCATTTTGTCTGTGAGCTGCGGGCGCCAGATAAGCCAACATCCCCCATTTTCATCACTTACAGCGCCCATCGTACAGGGCAAATGAAAGGTGGAACCGGGTGAAAAGGGTGTTACATTTACTTAATTGTGAATATTGTTACATCAAGGCCGAAAATTAGGATGAGCCCCAACGGTCAAAATGTTTTTTTCCCTCCCAGAACTGCCAGCGCAGCACCTCCCCAGATCTGGCGCCCTAGGCGAACATCTAGCCAGCGCTACGGGCCGGCCCTGAGTTCATATCATGGTTCATATATGCAACTCGCAAATATCTTTCTCTCTCTCTCTCTCTCTCTTCTCTCTCTCTCATCTCTCCTCTATTTTCTCTTCTCTCTCTCCCTCTCAATGTTGGTACGCAAATGCGCTTTGTTTCAAATGACCCGGTGCTCTTTGTTTGGCGGAGGTGCGCATGCGCACCAGTTATGTGCAGCCCTGTCTATAATCATTGAATGGCTTTAACTTTAGTAAAATAATTTTAGAAAATGTTTTAGAGTCAGTGGTTCCCTAACAGTGCTAAAATCCTCAATATTGTAATTTTTTTTTTAAAAGACAAGAAAAAGAACATAAATATACTACACATAATTAAAAGATCCTTCAAAATGTTTCCTTTCAACCCAGTTCTCCCCTTATATGTGGTAACAATAAAATGCATTCGTAAAACGACATTGTATAAGCACCTGTCTCGTAAAATAAAGAAGAGAGAACAAAGGAAAGCAAGAGGAGAAACTGAATTCAGACATGAAGTTAAAAAAGAGACCAGACCTACCGGTGCTATTCTGCCACTTGTACAGCAGCACAGTTATCTTTGCTTTCCGACGCTATAGCTAAATACTCCGGCCTGAAGGAAAGACGGTGATGGAAATAGAAAAACAGGCTGTCAAGACCAGTGAAACAGAATCAGAACAATATATATATTTAGTGAGGAAAAAGGTAGATATGTGTTATTTAAAAAGAGCTGATTGAAACTGAATTTCTGCTTTCCAAACAGTGTCAGGAGGGAAAAGGAAAGGACTGCAGTGTCCAGCTGTGTATGTTGGAGTGTGGTTAGTGTTACTCACGCGCTCTCTCTAAGAGCTTCCTCTCCAGCCACTGAAATCTTCCTGTAGCAGTAAATCATCTCAATCACCAGCCATACCTGCAGCCCGATGAGGGAGACGTACATCATTACCTCAGACAAGATGGATGCCCATCCCCTGGTAACTAGATTCAGAGAAGAAGATAAGGTAAGACATTGTGTATCTGTGTGCTTATGGGTTAGATTACATTTGTACCATGCAAACGATGAGCGCTGCCTATGCCATACAGGTTTTCTTTGAGTCATGAGTCTTGACTTCCTGTACTGAATTATACAGTGATTCTATACTTTGTTACTTCCTGAACCCTGCTTCAGACACAGTTAACGTCCACAATTTATGATTTAAGCTGCAAATAACAATCGATTCCTTCTCCATTGATCTGCTCTGTTTATCACTGGGCTCACAACAATAAGAGCGGTGAGATTGAATCAAAAACAGTCTAAATTATCCAGCTGTTTATGATACATCTCTTTGAGTCAACTTTCTTATTTAGTTTTCCCCCTTCCCGCTCAAACATTCCTTACGTTCTGGCACCACTGTCATGTCGATAGTCTTGTTGGGAAAGGTGGAAAACTCGTAGGCAGGATACATCAGGGTTCGGCTGAATATGCACTTGTAGCGTCCCGTGTCATTGAATGTCACGTTTAGGATGAAGATGGAGCCGTCCTGCAGGTCATTTGTATGTTTGCTGCCATTCCAAACAAGACGTTCAAAGAAACGTTCGTCAGTGATATTGGCCTCTTTATTCTTATAGTTGTATACCTGGAAGAAATTACAAAATATCATTTATTTTAAAAGAAAGGGAAGCAAAATAGATGTTTCTACATGTTAACAATTTGCCACTAATCATGTTAGCTTTGCATTGTTGCAAGTGTTAATGCTGATGCATGTGTTTCTTCCCCTCGTTCATGAAGAGACAGTTAATTACATTTGGCCTGCGCTGTGAAAATGTATTCAAATTCATAATATGTTTTTCAAATTCATAATATGTTTTTCAAATTCATATTCTTTAAACATGTATGAGATAAGGCCAGCTTATTACAGCTTTGTTACTGTGATCTCCTGCAAACCCCAAACCAATGTATATCTCTCAATTATTTTGGACACGCCTGATATGGTTCCAAATGAGCATGTGAAGGACTGCGGATGGAAAGTGGCTCAAAGCTAAATCTGGCATATTTACACTTGGCATGTTATGGCAGATTCCTTATACAGCGTATTTCTCGCTTATTCATTAAGGTTACACAGGTCAGAGAGGCCTCATTGTATCTTCCGCAATTATTAGGCTACAATTGGATCATGTTATGTAAATTGGCCAAGGTCAGAGGAAGTACAAAGAGGCTATATTTAGATTATAATACAGTTAAGTCTTTGTTAGTTCATTACTCCTAAAGACGTCAAAAGATAATGACCTTTCCACATCTGTAACATATTAAAATATCAACTAATCTATTTTGTGTGGTTGGCTGCATGTTGTTTTCATGTGTGTGCATCATTTAGAAACATATATATGCCTGTGTGAAACTTCTACTCGTTGGGGCATTTCCGCGATTGGCTGCTGTGGCAGAAGGTGATGTACTCCATTAATTATTATTTGTTGTTGCGCAACTGAATAATAATGAATCTCAACCATATCTGTGTTTGTGTTTTATTGATCTCTCTCGCTCTGTGTTAGCATTTCAAGTTGATGAGCCATTAATTGCACTAACAGGCACATTTCATGTTTTAAGTGTTCATTAATGTGCAATGTCCCTGCCAAATTCTCGAATGAGAACAAATGTATTTCCCAACTTTCACACTTCACATATAGTGACTTTCTAGCTGCTTTTGGATCCATCTTGTAGTCTTTGACTTGTAGTCCCAATTATTTACAAGCGTGGATAAATGAAACCACAACAGAGAGCTGCTGTTTGCTCTTTGTTGCGTTCAGGTGTAAAATAAAACAGATTGTCCTGTGTTGATGAATGAATATTTAGACTCTGATTTTTAAGTTTGAAATACAGTACAGTCAGTCTTGAGAGAAACTGGCTTCACCAGTGCTGCTGTTTTCTGTATCGACCGAGCTGCAGTAATGGCCTCACCTCGGCACGTCCTGGTGAATTAGCGGATACAGATTCCTAATAGATGCTGAAGGCTAATGGGATCTCTCCTGCTACATGAACACAGAATACCATAATGGCCTCTTTGCTTCGCCTGGGGAGAGCTGCTTGGTCCAGAGAAAGCGCTGTCTTCCAGTCAACACATGGGGAAAGAAGCCTGGTCTGAAAGTGCAAGGCTCTGCTCTCTCACGATAAATTCAGCCTTTTCGCATTACAGCTTTTTCTGGACACATGAAAACTGGCTGCATTTAATGGGATTATTTAATTAATCTACAGTGTTAATTAGCCACGCCAACTGTTTTGCCCCTCTTCTTCTCACCTCTGCAAGATGGGAAAGATATTCCCCAAAATGTGAACTCTTTTTTTTTTAAATTGTCACTGAGGAGCTTCTTATTGAAAGCCTTTCCATCTTATTGCTACTCACATGGGTGAAATTATGGTCAACTGATTCCTGGAAGTACCAGTCGACGAAGGCGCTGGCGGGAACCTCGCCCCTCTTCTTACAGGAGATGCAGCCCAGTTTGAAACCTTTTTTTTCCACGGCTTCTGTGTTTGAGTCCACCTCCACGCAGGCTCCACGACACAGACATGCTACAGTGGGAAAAGGATGCAGAACACGCAGTTAGAAACATCATTTATCACTTAATTGCTCTTTGTCTATTTGCAGGTGCACGGCTAAGAGGTAAGAGCCGTGGGGGGCCATCCTCTTATTTCTGAACCCCTGACCTGTGAGAGAGGTTGAAACACGGGCAGTGCCCTGGTGTTTTCCCATAAGCAAGCAAACTCTCCAAACAGTACTTAAAATATTGTCAGCTACTGTACCTCTCGATGTTTAATTGTTTTTGCGTGCTTGCTCCCAATGCCCAATGCATGCATGTTTTATTTTCGCTGTATCGGGCGTAGCTTTTTTTATTGCAATATTTATTTCCACCCAATATAGTTTGGAGATCCTTGTGAATTTGATTGATTTGGGTTTTAATTTTGAAGTAATTTACATTCAAGCAGTTTATAATCTGTTCAACTGAGGGGAAATAAAGAGGTTGCAGTACATAACTACTTTCTTGCATTCTGTCAATTGCTGAATGAGCTAAATCCATATATAGAAGCGTGACTCTATATATGCCATCATCATCATGACACGTACTTCTCATCGGCCACGAGTTACACACCTGTAACTCCAAATGTTTCTTTCTCACACTGCACCTTGCAGTTTCCGCTGAGACCTCACCATGGCTCTCAACCAATGATCCTGAACTACTGTCAACTTTGACCTCTTGGGGGGTGCGTTTGTTTCGAATTGCAACATGGGGGGAAGGAGATGAAGGAGAAACAGGAAACACAACGCTAATCAGAGGAACTGAAACCATTACAACTTTGGTTGAGATTCAGAACGGCTGCACATCATCCATGGCCTGATATACACATATTTAATTAAAAAAAGGTTCTTTCTTTAAATCCCTAGGATAAAAAGTACAAAGGTAACACCACGCAGCGAAACATGGAGGGAAGGAAGGAGGAAATAGGGAGAATTTTAGCACAGGTTTGAGTAGTAATAGCCATTTCTGCAAAAGCATGGTGAGATGGGGAAGCAGGAGGGAAGAGGCCTGAGGGCCGATGATGCACTGCAGAGAAAGAGGGGGAGGGAAGAGGAAAAAGGGAAGGAAAAGGAGAGAAAGTTAAGAACATAATTGAAGACTTCACAAGCCAGAAAATAGGAACCCAAATTGAAATGGACCTATTGGTATCATATTTACAAGAGATCGACTCATGCATTTAAAAGCAAACACAGACCCAATCCCAGTTTGACAAGAGAATTACTTGAACCAGAACCTGACCTGATTGATTTAAAATGGATTATAACTTGTGTTTCAGTTTCAGATTCACGTCATTCTAAAGCGGTTTTCACCAAAATGTTTACAGCAGCTTAAAAAACAGCAAGGCGGTAATTAATCTTTTTTTCTTCATATGGTTTTGCCATGTTGTCATTTATCTATTAAAGCTTGCAGAGCATTGGCATTTGAACTTCCTCATTGCTTTTGAATTTTTTTTCAGGGACACTATTGTGTTAGTGTAGATATCCCTTGTGCAGTCTCTAGATGGTAGTTTATTGGTTATTGTGACAACAATTTTAACAGAAAACACCAACGATCTAAATCTGGACATATGTATAGGTTGTTGATATATTATTTCTTTCTTTTACTAATAATTTAGTAAAAGCTACTTTTTAGCTAACCTACTCCAGAATCTTTCCACAGACCCCAAGGCAGAGGATCCCACTGTGTGTATACCACTGTGGAGAAACAATTGTAATGTTTTAGTAGCTTTGTTGTAATCCCAGATCTTTACAGTTACTTCCATGAGTGCAGTATATCCGAGATAGAAAAAATTGCCAAAACCATCAAATATCTGACCAAAATGTTGAAAGTAAGTCTGGTAATTTACCTAAAAATTAGCTTTTAAAACTACCTCGGGCACACCACCATATCTTAAATGAAGAAAACTTAAATACCTGAATCTACAATAAAGGGGTTTGGATAGGCCAGGGCAGGGCCGGACTGGGAAAATAAGTCAGGCCGGGAATTATACACCCAGCCAGGCCACTACCAGTTTTCTTTTGTGCCATTTTTCTGGATTTATTTGTCCATATTTACAGCGGTGCTGCCCATAGTGATAGCCCTAAACTTTAAATCTACTACCCCAGAATAAACATATGGACATGGGTTACTGTTTAAAATAATGTGCAAATCTATTTAGGAACCTATGTGAACATATTTTAAGTGCAGGTGGACCTCACCTCCTCTAGGGGGGTCCGGGGGCATGCTCCCCCGGTAAGATTTTTTTTTAAATGTTGAACTTAAATGCATCAATCTGGTGCATTTTGCGGGGGAAATAAAGAGACTACACCCATATGAAACAGAACTGTATACATTTAAATAATCATAAAATCATAAGTACATGGCCATAACTAATAACATATCCAATATGAAAAAATATTGAAACTTGTTTATTTATTTGTTTTTGGTTCATTTATAGTGTATCTGGGCTCCTGAACCAGCCTCACCTGTCTCCCTCCTCTCCCCCCTGCTCCTCTTTGAGGCAGCAGCAAAGACTAGTTTGAGCTAACAAGTTTATCTTACCTTTTTTCACCTAGTTAAAACATTTTTTAAATTATTCATCCATATTTTACTAATCACTCCCCCTTCAAATGGAAATATGTGTTTACATAAATGGTGACCAAACCGTTTGAGACCCACAGAGAACTTAGAATAAGTTAACTATCTAAACACTCAAGAGTCCTTTACCTCACCTGAGCTGAGGTTATCAGTCTCTCAGTCTGACAGTAGAGAGCTCTCCTCCACCTTGTTGACATCTCATGATATGCGTTAGCGCAGCTAGCTAGCACCAGATGCTAACAACAACAATACACGTAACCGGTGCACGCGCTTTCTCTCTCGCTCTCGCGCCACACATACAAACCCTCCCGAGCTTGAATGACACACAGAGACCAATCGAGGGCATTAGTATGATCTGTATGAAAGTGGCCATGTCGGCAGGCCACATCATGGAGACAGCCAGTCACACTCTGTGAGGCAGAGTCAGACCCACATTTGCGCAGCGTTGCGTTCACAATACATACATAAACAAAGGAATCCTCAGGCCAGCAGGCCACTTAGCAGGCCAGGCCATCGGGAAACCTCCCGGTCCTCCCGATGGCCAGTCCGGGCCTGGGCCAGGGTCTCGTGTTTTCAGGTTTTTCTAGGATGTCTACATTATAACACAGACCTGAGGCAAAAAGCAGATTCTCCTAAACCTTTTTTGTAGAAAATCAGCATTTGTGTTTTATATTTTTCAGTCTAATCTCTGCTATAATAAGCTTTCTTGTTTGTTCCAAATGTGACTTGTGATTGTTTGTTAATTACAGTCTGCTATAAACTGCACCAGCTGTCGTAGCTAATCCTCAGCCGCCAATAGAGGTCGATCAAAAGTCATTCATCACCTAATTCGCCTGTACAATCTCACAGGAAAGCATTAGGAAATCAACGTGTGCAAATGGACACAACAACCACATCTGTCGTTAAACATTAATAGTCTGTGGTATTTCGAGGGATTCCATCAGACCAACTTGTTTGGTGTAGAAAATACAGGCAGGAAACGACAGAGAGACACCAAACAGACACAAGAGCAAGACATCCATGCAGAGGAACACAGAAGGGTTGGAGATGAGTTCAATGCTCTGAGAAAATGACGTAAGACCTAAAACACAGACAGAGGAGAGACATCACAACAACAACAACAACAACAACATGTTTGACCAACAGCAGGGCGGACACAAATTAAGAGAGAAAGATTTCAGTTGCAAGACAGAAAGAAGGAACAGAGCAGGGGCGGTTCTAGGGGGGGGGCAACAGGGGCCAGTGCCCTTGTAACCCTGAACAGGGACCCCCCTGTGGCCCCCTTCCAATAAAAAGGTTACAATATTACGATTTATTGGAACTAAATCAAATCAGAGACCCGGATGTACAGTGGAGATTAAACTGTTCATTACCTTATAAAAGCAAATACTGTTTATATTTTTTAATTCAATTGTCACTGAACGTTACAAAAACAAATACCAATTACTGTATTTGATGTGTATTTTACACAATTACTTTATTCTGTCTTTGTCTTTATAACCCGCTTTTATTGTGCCCCTCTCATGAAATAACTGGCCCCAGCCTGCCCCCCCCCCCCCCAGTAAAATTGGTCTAGAACCGCCACTGGAACAGAGACAGATGAAAATGTTGCAAGAGCGTTAGAGCACACAGACAGCGTGAGGCGGTAATCCTGAGGGAGGTTTGTGACGCAGCGAGAGGCGAGATTGTGCAATGTGAGCAGGTACGCGGCTGACTGTCCGAAGCTGAGACAGCAAGTTAAGGAGACAGCGAAAAGACTCGGCGAGAGAGAGAGAGAGAGAGACAAAGATGCAAGCAGACACAAAGGGAACTGCACATTCACGGAGCCACCCTCAGCAACAATTCTCACCAATGGCAGCAGGACACATACACACAGAGCGTCAAAAATCTATTGCGTAATCTGTGGACTGTGGTTCAGGATTAAGCAACGGATATTCCAGAAATTGCAGATTAGGAGTTTTTTTTTTTTTGTACACTGACATTGGGGCTGGATGCTTAATCCCTCGTATCAGTTGCTCTATAGCCCCGAGGCCTGCAAAGCAAAAAATCTGACTAACAGCTTGAGCTGCACAAAAGACCATGCACCCCCTGAGGTTAGCTATCCTTGCATGTCACTGGGAGCTAAAGGGAATACAAAAGGGATCAGGGATATTTGCTGAACTAGCCATAGGAGAGGGAGAAAGGACAATTGGATAAGCGACAGTAAAAGAGATGAGGGACAACATCTGACTGCTCCATTGCTTGGTTACCACAGAGATGAATATACACATACTGTAGGCATACACAACCTGGGGGAAATATAAGCATCAATGACATTTCCCGCGACACCAAGCAAGCAAAAGAGTTTCCACTGCAACTAGACGACTGTAGAAGCAAACTCTCTAAAGGCATCTCTTTAACTCAACCCTACAGAGCTGCCATATTTTCGTGGCAGGTAACGTTACGGCACACTGCTTTAGTTGTAACAAGCCCAAGGAATCCCTTCCTGCTTTTCTGTCCTTGTATATATTTTTTAAACAGCTTCTACATTGGTTTAAGAGCAAAACAAACAATTAATTTAAACAAAAAATACAGAAAACGTTACAAAAATCATGAAATCTCATGTCTTTACCAAATATAATTACACATAAGCACAATTTAAACTGTGACTGTTGTATTCTGATGAATAATTTGTCTTTTTAAGAGAAACATATTGCCACCTAAATGTACAATTCGATGTAATAGTGTGCAAGCTGTGAAGAAATGCAACACTAAAGAGTCAAGACCCGTACATTGTTAAAGATTCATAAATAAGTAATTTAGGCGGTTTAGTGGCAGAACTGCACAACAGCCTAAGAGCTGCATTATGCAAAATTATTGTCTTGTAAGTTGATATGGCCCTATAGCAGCGTTTGTATTTCTGACCATGTAATGACTGTACGTCCAATTTACAGTCGCTTTGAGAGAGACTCTGTATTTGGTTACAGTTTAGATTAGATTAGATTAAAAGCATGTATTGTCATTATACATGTACGATGAAACATCAAAACATTCGGAATAGACAACATACAACAACAAAGTATGCAGCATTCATACTAATAACGAAAGTGCAGGAATTAATTCATTGGTAGAGTAAATATGTATGTGTGTATAATAAATTATATATATTGCACATGGGTTATTGCACAGGAGAGGAAGACTAAGCTAGTCTCTAAATGTGTCCGTCTATTCAGCGATTATTGTACAGTGTTTTTTTTGGCAAAATGGTTGATGGAGAGGTTCGGCTGCAAGTCAAAACGAAGATCTGAAGGATGCTAAAATGCTCTGTAGCTTAGAGAAACCAACAGAGTTGGTTTTAGTTCCTCACCTCATCTAGTTTTTTTGATTCATTCATTGGTGAAGCTTTAAAACCACACACATACACACACACACACACACACACACACACACACACACACAAACTCTACAAATATAAATTGAGCCGTATGGAAGGTCATCTCTTCATGTGAATCTCCTCCCACTCCATTGCTTCCCACCCCCCTGGTACTAAAGACCTCTGTCACACAGGTTGATGACCAGGAGTGTGTGTGTGTGTGTGTGTGTGTGTGTGTGTGTGTGTGTGTGTGTGTGTGTGTGTGTGTGTGTGTGTGTGTGTGTGTGTGTGTGTGTGTGTGTGTGTGTGTGTGTGTGTGTGTGTGTGTGTGTGTGTGTGTGTGTGTGTGTGTGTGTGTGTGTGTGATTTCAGGGGGGGGTGATTGAGCGCATCAATCAAGAACTCCTCGTATCCTTCTGTAGAACAGGCTTGTACAACCTGATGACAAGATATATTTTCAGGTGTTGAAAGCACAGTTTTCTAGAAGAAGAGGTGACTTTAGTTTACACATTAAAGCTTAAAAGATATGGTTGGATTCAGTTTTTAGGGAAACGTTGGCTATTTACTTTCTACTATAAAGCCATATTCCAATGTGGTTTTTTTCTATTTACGCTAAAATAACAAACAGCATCAGTTTTGGCTTTGCAGAAAATGCCTTAGAACCTTCTGCAGTCCATCACTTGAGTGAATTATTTAATGTTCTCCCCCTCCCACTTAAAATGATGACGAGCTGTTCTATAATGTTATTTGAGGCTGGAGTGGAGTGGTGGACTACTCCAAATGGCGGAGAAGACTGTGTGGTTGTTTTAACATCCTGTGGACAGTGATCTCCTTTCCCCATAAGTATGTGTTCGAGCCATTTGCAGACTTAATGGCTCTTTTCTAAAGAGCTTCTCTGCTGCATGCATTACTTAAAGTTGCCATGTGATGTATTATGCTTTATGAGCCTCTGGAATGGCTGCAAGCAAAGACAAAGTTCTCTGTTTCTGTCTGATGATTATTGTGGGGTTACATTTAGAAATAAATATGTTTTTTGTAGTACTTTAATATGGTGGCCGACAGGTACCAATGCACTTCAATTTCCCAAAACACTGATGAATGGTTTTTTGAAATGTGTTGTCGAGTTGCTTAAAATGTGTTTTGCCACATTGTGTTTTTTTATTTGCTTAGTTTTTGAAATTGCAGTGTGTTTCTCTGCTGTTGTAACACGTTTGCACCTGTTGGCCACCGTACTTTAATCCTCATGAATGATCACTATATAAGGGTCAGCTACAGGTGAAATCTATTTGATTGTATTTCTTTATTTTCGATAGCCTCTGCAGCCTGAACCACACTGAATACAGATGGAGCTTATTCTGATAAAGTGTGGGGGGGAGCTTGTGTAATCATGCTAGTTCATGTTTTGCTCTTCTTTCGATCCTTGTGGATTCACTGCCTTAGAAAAACTTCAATTTAAATTGTATTTTTGCCAATGCATGTCAAACTATAATCACAACACAGCCTCAATCTGTCCCTTTCCTCTTACTTTAGGAGATTCCATCCAATTTCCTGCCTCGCCTAATATCCTCATCCTCACTCCAGCTCCAGATGTGCTCACTTACTTCAGTCCTTAACTAACCCACCGGCTCATCAACCAAACAGCTGTTTCTGTCAATCAAGGTTGTGTAACTATCTCACTTTTTGCCAAGCTTCACTTCTCTGCTCACATCGGATCTCAATTTCCAAGCTCATCTTCCTGCAGCTCTGCCTACAGCTTTCAGCTTGATACCCTGGTTAAACTTGCACTTCATATAGTGGAATAACAACATTATGAAGCTGTGATGGCTCGTGCATGCATGTGTGGTTTGTAGTGTTGTTTGCCGGTGTCTGAGTGCAAAACAAACAGCAGCTGGCTGAGTCTCTCCTTTAATGCATTGCTTTCTTTTTGTGCTCAATTTTAATTCTCAGTGCTTAAAATTATATAATCTGTGATGACACATGCCAACTAAAAAGCTTTTGTGAGTGCATTTTTTCATGTATGTTATGTATTTTGAGGAACATACTAAAACGTCAATACATTTTAATTTAGATGGGTTTCAAGTTATAAAAGTATTTAAAGGAAAACACTATATTCCTATGGTTTGAACCCATTTAAATCCTGTTTAAATCACCTACCAATGCATGCCAATCGCTTCGCATTTAATTATGTTTTAAAATAAACAAAGAAGCCATTAATAAAGTGATGTGGCTGTATGTCATGAATCCCCTCACATACTTGTAAAGGTGTATTTCCTTGCAGAGTTGCTTCTCCTCCTGTGGGTGGCAGGAGACTAACCGTTCCTCAAAGATGATGGATTATTTTATCTTCATCTCAGTGTAAGGTTTCTTTGTGCCTTCAAATAATGAATGGTGGCTTGTTGTGAAGGTGGGAAATTGAGTTGTGATATCTCAAATCATAAAGAGACCAGCAAGAGAAGGGGAAAGCTTAAGGGAACAAAGGAAAATGTTCTCTTTCAAAACACTTTGTGACGCTATTTTCTTCACATTTTGGGGAGTATCAGTATAAAGGTTGCACATGCAGTAGATACCTTACTCGTGTGAAACACAGCAGCTGCAGCTGTAGAAAAACGCTGAACTTTCCTATAGATGTATAAATAGCATAGAATGAAAAAAAGATGCCGTGACAGGAACATTTGCAAGAACAACAACTCGGTACTTGTACTCAACAAAAAGGTCCAATTCACTGATCTTAGTCTGACATGACTTACAATAAATCAGCTACTATTTTGTTAATCAAATAATTGTTTACTTTTTTTAAAGAAAAGAGAGTAAACATTGTCTGGTTCCAGCTTGTATCACTAACTGAATATATTTGCACTGTTGGTCATCACATACCTTTAGTTACCACCTTTTATGTTATCCCGGAAACCAATTGTAAAGTAGACTTTTTGAGGAATAAATTGTGATAGTATTCGATTATGGAAATAATTATTAGCTGCAGCAGTCACACCAACACACACACACCAACACACACACACCAACACACACACACATGATAGAAACACTACACCCCAATCCTATGCACCGGAAGAAATGAATAACAAACATTGTCCTACACTTTTCAATACACAACAGACCACCATTGGCCTCAACTCATTACCCGAAAAAACCCTAAACCTAACCTCACTGCTTGGCCTTTCAGCAATCCAACCCAACTTCAACACATTCAGTCACACATCTGCATCTGAACACACACACACTCGAGAAAACTCCCACAACAGAGCAGACAGCGTTAGAGAGCAACATCAGACAACAGGAAACACCCCAACAACAGCAACAAACTGCACAGTCAGTGAACCGGGGGGTGATGGACAAATGGACGGTGGCTCGTGTGCATGCCGAGGTGTTGCCATTGCTCACTCACCTTGAAGCGCCAGGAGGGCCAGGGTTAGCAGCAGATGGGACATCCTGACAGGAGAAGGAAGACTGGTGGAGGCTCTCAACGGCGTCAAAACACACCACGCATCTCACACACACACACACACACACACACACACACACACACACACACACACACACACACTTCAGAATAGGAGATACAATACAGATCTAAACAGCAACTACTCCAGCTTGGTGGTGAAAACCTCTAGGATGTCCTGATTATGATTGCAGTTGAGAGGAGGAGGCTGTTGGGACTCTGGTTGTGATGCACTCTGGGTGTCTTCTTCTTCTCCTCCTTTTTTATTTTTTCCAGCTCATACAAGCGTTGAAAGGAGGGTTGGGTGGGTCACCTTGCTGATCTGGTCTTCTCAAGCACCTGCAAATCCAAACGGAAGCAGTGTGGAAGATGTGCCTCGTCTCTTCGTCTGCTCAGGATCTAAAGCACTTTTTATTTTTCTGCAGACTTTGTTCAGCCTTTCAGCGTGATAGTGTATAGAGTTACCAGAGACAGGAACCACTTTGAGTTTCAGGTTTCGTCCCCCTTGTTAGCACCAAAAGGGCCTTTGTTCAACTATGTATACTGTGGCACACCCTTTGGCCTCTTTAGCTCCACAGTGACACACCAAATGATGCCAGTGCGTTGACACACAGGTTGCTTGATGGTCCTATCAGCCGTTGACCATTAGAAGCTACTGGAAGACTGATATCTTAGGGACGACACTGAGGAATTGAAAAGTGAAGCACACTGGTGAGAGTCATGCAATGGAGAGTTAAAGAGTGATTGTGCAGATCAAATGTAAATGATGAATTTTGCATTAAAGAGACATTTAGCACTTTTCCCTTGTGTGCTGTAGATTCGACATGGGCAGAAAGCAGGGTCCGAGTTTAAAGATCCACTGTCTGAGTGAAATGGCAAATGGAAGCAGTTTGAAGAATCCTCTCACTTGTTTCCTCCTCTTTGGCTTTGGAAGAAATCAGAGATGTTAGCTTTTATTGAATGTAGGTGGTATTGCCTCCTATCAGTGCTAAGTCCAACGTAAAGCTTCACAACTAGGCTACATTTCTCCTCAGGTTTAGCTCCAGACAGCACCTTATTCATGTGAAATCATCTGTGGTTTGTGCAAATCAGCTAAGCCTTGTGTTTGCATAGCTGCTGTCTGCACACGGTGCTCAGACTAGAATGCAACAGGACAGGTGGCTCTGCTGCTATGATGGGTCAGCAGCACTCCTGTTTGAAGGCGCTTTGAAAGGCATGTATTAACCAGCTAAAGGGGTCTTTATTTACATCATTACCTCGCCTATTATAGTGGCTAAAAATGCGTTTTTCTGTGCAATAAAGCGTTAGGTCTATGAAGTAATACTATAGAGTTACTGCTCTTTAGGGTGATCGTGCAAAAAGCTATCAATAATGTTGAATTAGTGAATATGCTAAAAATGCATAAACTCCTGTCTGTTCTCTTTTTCGTGATCCCATAAACGCAGCAAAGAAAAACGCAGCGTATGTCACCTCTTTAACAAAATCCGCTGTTTTAAAACGAATAGTCTCCTCGCTAATATCATTTATTGTCCCCTCCGTGTCCGGCAGTCAGATGCTGGGAGTCGCTCCGCTGGCACACCGAGGACCACCGGAGAGATTTAAAGACCGGAGCTTGACTCAGAAAAAAATAAAGTAACACATCCCCTACTTCTTTTTGTTGTTGCTTTCAAAAAGAGACGTGCGGCGGTCAAATGTATTTTGAAGACCCGTTCTTCCTGGAGAAGCTGTAGGAGACGTCAAAATGCGTAAAAGCCGATGAAAATCACACAGAAAAACCAACACTAAATCGGTAATCTCCAGATGTGATGTGTCAGTGGGAGGATCGCGCGCTAATCAGTCTTTGGGATGGGTGAAGGCTGGGGAGGGAGGTGCATAGAGGAGGAGGAGGAGGAGGAGGAGGAGGAGGAGGAGGAGGAGGAGGAGGAGGAGGAGGAGGAGGAGGAGGAGGAGGAGGAGGAGGAGGAGGAGGAGGAGGAGGAGGAGGAGGAGGAGGAGGAGGAGGAGGTAGTGAGCCGTTGTTATGGCAACATTGATTTAAGTCTATGAGTTATATAATAGATGGATTGTTAACATATGTTACATTTAAACATTACATTGTATTCCTTCATCTGCATCTGATCTAAAAGGATATTTCCAACCCACGATTTAAGATTCAAAGGGGTTTATTTATCACAAAAACAATATAATGCATGGTAATAATGCAAGTCTGAAAGAAGAAGATAATACATCTTATAAATGCATGTGAAGGTGAAGCAGAGATAACACATGAAAAATAGGATTACACAGTCCCTTTAAAGTGGAAAAGAAACATGCATCTTTGTTAAATCAAACTGTGTTGTGTTATAAATACAAATGAAATAAAATAGATAGCTTGAAACCTTTTCACTTTTGAAGTATCCAAGCTATTTGATAATAAATGTTATAAAAACAATTATTTATTCATTATTCTATCAAAGTAGCCCAATATGCTTTATGTTTGTTGTGTGTGCTTGTATAACAATAAGTCCAGCTTGTTTCCTCTGAGCTAACTTTGTCATGATGATGAGTCATTGATTGGTATCATCAGTTTCTCAAGACACGTCTTTATTTTCACAATGAGGGCCACAGCAACACACAACATTACCTGCTATTAAACTCAGATTTACAGGTTGCTAAAACTAAAGTAGTTTCAACCAACAATCCTGCAATAAATCCTCCCTCCATGAAAAATATAATGTCTATTTGTTGTTGAAATTGTGGAAGAGAGGTGTTTTTACTCATTACTCATAGCATGGAAAGTGTGTCATGTAAAACGACTTTTCTACCCACCTCTTCCCTCCGTCTTGGTCATTAACCCACATGGAACACACATATGAAACACAAACATGGAACACACACACACACACACACACACACACACACACACACAATCAACCACATGAAACATGACCACAGGTTCACTAACACGCTATTTGACTCAGTGCCAAAGGGACTCACTCCTGTCGTCCTGTGTCTGTGTGTGTTGGTGCATTTGTGTGTGTGTTGATCTCTTGTTTTGGCCATTTCATTATGCCAGCAGCAGGATTACTGTGCTGATTGCATGCCTGTCCTCACCCTGACAAATGTGTGTGTGTGTGTGTGTGTGTGTGTGTGTGTGTGTGTGTGTGTGTGTGTGTGTGTGTGTGTGTGTGTGTGTGTGTGTGTGTGTGTGTGTGTGTGTGTGTGTGTGTGTGTGTGTGTGTGTGTGTGTGTGTGTGTGTGTGTGTGTGTGTGTGTGTGTGTGTGTGTGTGTGACCTTCATGTCCCTAATTCCACTAACATCTCTCAATAAAAGATTAACTTCAATGACTGCAAAAACGTGATATATCAGTGAGACATGTTAAGGGTCAACTTGTTTTATCGTCCACAAATACACATATCTTTATTTTTTGTTATTTCAGGCACATAATTTGCTTCTTAAATAATTGTATTGGTCGTCAGTTAGGTTGTATTATAACTTTCTACAGAAATGACTGGAAACATGTTTTTATAATCAAAGTCAGAAATGATTTCCCTTTTGTGCAACTACCCTCAGTCACCGTTAGAGGGCGATAACGTATCAAAGACACATTTGATAATACAAAAAAAAGGAAAGAGTTGTGAAGGAAATGATGATTCAAACTTAGAAAAGAGATCCAAACATTACAATTTTGCATTTCTGATGAAAGAGGAACGTGTGGGCAGGGGTTTACTTCGATGTTCCTATTTAAAGGTATCCTTTCCAAGGAAATCCAAACCACACTAAACATATGACTGAGCATACCTCTGCACACTCAACTGAAAAAGCAATAAGAATGAATCAATAAGAGTCACGACATGGTCTGTTTGTATATAATTTATTAAGCATTTACATATTCGGTTATCTTTTATGCAATATTATTCTTCGTCGGCCACAGATTTGATTTATCTCTTGAAAAAAGGGCATAAGAAATTATTTGTCTTGTTTATATGCATGTACATTATATTACAGAGACATACAGTGTTTTGTGATTTGTTAAAGTCACTGGAACCCTCCACTTTAATAGTAGTAATGATTATTGAATCTTGGGCTAATGCCTTTTAATTTAAGTAATTTGCCACTATTTAGTTCATAGGCTAAAACGGGTTGCTTGGCTTCCAATATTCTCATGTGGTCAAAAGATATTTCCCAACTTCACAATGACGACTGAAAAACTGTAATGATGATGGCAGCGTCAACTCACAGATCATCTTATGTGGGGTGGACATTTAAAATCCCATGCCGCTATGCCAAGTTTTACTTTAAACCACCCAGCCTCATTCACTGGATACATTGCCACTCCTGATTGGAAGCTATTAAACTCCACTTTTCAGATTACATTACATTGCATTTAGCTGATGCTTTTATCCAAAGCGACTTACAATAAGTGCATTCGACCAAGAAGATACAAACTTGAAGAAAACAGAATCATATAAGTACATCAGGTTTCATAGAGTCAGATAAATGTGGAAAGGCCAAGATTGGATGCATGAATGATGTGTAGAAAAAAAATCCTCCACCATCTTTCACTGCCATCAATAAGTTGTTGTAATTGGTTGGATCCTGTGTTTAAATGTGCAACCCATACAAGATGTTCTACATTTTAACACTTTATAAAAGTTTTTAATGCAATTCCAAAACAGGAGAATAGACCAGGGTCCTTGCACAGAGACTTTTGAATGAACAGAAGTCTCGATAGTGCCAGAATGCACTATACCAATAGGGACTGGTGCATTGTGGATTTTGGGATTCTGTTTGTGTTTTCTAAATGTTGGGAGAAAGAAAGCCACATTTTTAAACTGTGCCTCGTTGAACCATATGAAGGGACTTGGAAGGGTGCTGCCGGTGAAATACAATGCAATGTGGAATATATTTAACAGAGCAGAAGATTCCTCCGCTTTCAACTTAATTCCCATTACTAAATGTTGACAAACTTAGCAACTGTAGATCAGAAGGGCAGTTATGAGTGCCAGCAGGATTGTAAAGGGAACTAGGAGGAGAGCCCCATACAGGAACCACGGCTCTGGGAACAGCATCACATTTGGCTCTGAGAAACACAAAACAAATGATATGAACATTACCTTAGGATTAAATCACACATTAGCTTTCTCTATTCAAACCACTAGGTCCACAAATGTATTTTTATAATGTGTGTAAGGTCACCATCTAAGAACAACCATTACACATTTGTCCAGCAGGAAAATACCTGCTGCTTTTTAGGACAGACTTACTGGGGACAGTTGTCATACTTGTTCAGTATCTTTACCATCTTTAGCCGACAAGGAGAAGCGATTTGTTAAAAACCCTTTACTTCAAGGTTGACTTAAACTTGAAGATTTAGAAGATTGTAAAAAGGTCAAACCAGAACACAGCAGCTGTTAAAAAAGTGGCTGTACATTCTTGACTAATGCAGCAAAAAGGACTTTCATGTTTTCATTCTTTAAACAATACTCTATTAACCATTGAGTGTAGAACAGCATGTTTAAGGGAGATTATTACCAGGCGTTTGGTAGTGGAAGATGCTTTTCGTTACCAGATCTTTGTTCAGGTGTAACTGACACTCATATTCTCCTTTTCCCCTCAGAGGAACGGTTTCAGTGAGGCTGATGAAGGGCAGAGCTGCATCAGCCTCACCTGGAGCAGAGCCAACAGGTTGGAGTTTGATCCCATCGTGAACAATGGACAAAGCAAATCTGGTACTCCGTGTCACGTTGACTCCACACCGGAGCAGAGAGTCATTGTGACCAGTGGGGTTGAAGATCATTGTGTCTGAAAAGAGACGTAGGCAGAAACACAGGTATGTCCAAAGCAGGTCAAAGTAAACACAGAAATATTGACATCTGTAGTGTTTTGTATATTTTATAAGAAACTCTTCCCAAACTTCTACATTTAGAGCCCCCAGTCACTGCAAGTCATTATGACCTTTAAGACCATTGTTCATATGCATATAGAAACCTGGAGAGTGATACAAATATCCTCTTGAGCGATACGTTAAAAGCAGGAAATTGTTGACAGAAATCGTATTTCTTCTACTTATCTATTAGTTGAGAGCTTAAGATAGCCCAAATGTAATTTGACAAATATCCAATTGCTTTCGAAATTGTTTTGAAATCAATGTAGCCTACTTCAAAAGATACTAACATCTGATTAGCATGTTCCTTTAAATCTCTCATCCTGACACAGAAAACCGTAGGCATGCAGAAAGCTGACAATGACCAGTATATCTTCGCAGGGGCGGACTGGGAGGAAAAAGTGGCCCGGGGATTAATTGACAGACAGGCCCACTTAATGCGCGGCATGTATCGGCCGGCGACGAAAGTATGTTTCTTAACAAAAAATCCTATGCATTTAATGTTATTTTGGACCATTATTCATAGTAATCACATTACCTGAGCCCTTGAGTTGCCTAGAGCAAAATAGTTACAGCATATATTTATTCATTTTAATGTTAACAGATCATTGATGCAATAACATTTGGATGCAATTTGCCTGACTTGACGCATGGAATAAAACATGGGCGTAGGAAGCATCCTCAATGTGGGAGAGACAATTTAACGGGGTGTGGGCAGATGGTGGACCTCACCTCCTTTAGGGGGGTCTGGGGGATCCCCCCGGAAGATTTTCTTTTTAAATGTTGAAGTTAAATGCATCAATCTGGTGCACTTTGAGAGCAAAATTAGGGACTAAATCTATGGATATATCTCTCAACACCCATGTGAAACAGAACTGTAAACAGATTTACTTTTTCTTTCAACCTTTATTTGAACAGCAAGTGGAGGCAAAAGTGACTGCACCCAAAACAATAAACCTAGCTAACTAGCCTAAACTCAGTAGCAGAATGTGGGCAACACGTTCTTCTCCACAGCCGCGCGACCTCTGAGTCAGACGTCACTCCCCCCTTTTCTATCCTACGGGTACAGCCGTACAGCCACTCCCCCTGAACCCCGTTTTCCTGCCAACCCCCCCCCCCCCCCAATGGCCAGTCCGCCCCTGTATCTTCGTCTCATTATGATTAACTACACAAACTAAATTTGGGTGAAGGCTTTAAAACTCTTATCAAAACTGAAAATAAACAAAAACTCTATGATCTTCAATACTAAATGTACACCTGGAAAATATTTTGCCATGAGTGGACCATTTCCATCTGTTAAAAAGTGTTTGGGCTCTAAAAAAGCGCTCCATTGTTAATTTAATTTTACACTAAACCAAGGTTATATTGCATTGTGATAATTACAAAAATAAATGTGTTGATTTTCAAAATAAATGCACTCAAACTCAGTAAAGTTCGTGTTTTACCGTTTTGAAGGCCTCAAGCGGGTTGGTCGTACAATAAGTAACTTTCTACTGTTCTGCACTAAAATGTTGTTAGAGTTATACATTCACCAGACTTTTTAATGCACCTTGGGAGTAGATGAAGCCGTGCCAAAAACCCACTCAGCGCATGAAAAATTCCCAATATACAAATCACAGGAAATATGTTGCGTATGTTGGTTATAGATGACGGTGCAGGTCACAAAAGCACATCACAGCTCTGCCTTAAGCTTGATTCCTGATAATACAACGTAATTCATCTTTATCCATGTCCTGTCTTTAACTTGAGCCAAACCCTATACACTTGAATATTTGTAAAATGGCTTGGAGAACATTTGGTCCTGCAATATATTAGAAATGAAAAATCTAAAACCTTGTATTTACCATAAATCATCAGTAAGGTTTTGTTTCCTTTTCTCCTGAAACTTTTATTGTTGTTTTTGATGGAGAGTTTGCACAGGTACCTCCCGCTGTCGGCCCACTGGACATTCTTGAAGAGTATGGACTTGTTTGAAGAGTTTTGATTATTGTCCAGACACTCAGTACGTCCCGTATAATTCTCAGAGTAGCTCCACACTATGGACTCGTCACTGCTGCCCTCTGTTAAGTACATCCAATAGAGAACTGGTGGAGTCTGTATTCTCTCATCATCAGTAAGACTGAGTTGGCACGGCATTATAACATCATGACCCAGAGCAGCGGTGAGCACAGGAGGCTGGTAAACTGTGACCAGAGAGTTAGTCCCTGAAAAACAAAAATAAAAAAAGAACAGGATGTTGAGTAAATGTTAGAGTAAAAATAGCCTTTTTCACGGAAATGTTGTGGTTGCTCGCTCTGCAATTCTTTGAAATGTTGACATGATAATAGTGAATTAGAGCGGCTGACTGGGTGCAAAGCAAGACACAAATTAGGTTTTGTATTTTATATTTTTTGACATTTTACCCTCAGCTTAATGGAGGAAATTATTTTGGATTTCTAATCATATTCGTCACATTTCTTTTTTCAGAAGAAGAAAATCCATGCTACCAAATGTAACCAAACATTCTCCATTTCAGACTGGTTAACCCAATAAACATTATTTAAAGAAAATGGAGAAGTTTTTTTTTAAAATTCCTTTCATTGAGTAGTAATTGGAGATGTATCCGAGAAGTGTATCAGCTTAAAGGAGACCTATCAGGCAAAATGCTCGTTTTGATGTCTTTTATACATAAATATGTGTCCCGGTGTGCCAGGGAACTCACGCAGCGTCAGAAAATAAAACCTTCTCTCTTTTCCTCCGTTCCCAAATTTCTAAAAACGGAGGTACAACGGAGCTGATCCAGATTTGCGTCCCATATGACGTAATATCGGAAATGTGGACCCACGGCACTATCAGAAAGTTGCTATCAGAAACAATGCCCGACTGTTTTGGACGTAATATGGTCGGTGCATGTTTACATTAGAATCGCTAACACTCAGAGCTAACCTGTACTGGAGAGCATGTGTGTGAAGAAGCTGGATATAAAAAGGAACTGCACCTTGTGGTATAACCGGCAAGAGAGAAAGCCTTTGAGCTCCATACTGTTTCAGAAATAATCCTTTATAATCCAAGATATGGCGTTTCATCACCTCAGTATCTGCCGGTATCTCCCGCATGAGCTCAGCCCCCTCGTTTTTTTTAGCAATCTTTTTTTGTTTTAAAGCTTTATACCCAAAATCAGCACTTTTGAAATAGAGGGATATGAGGCATGGCTAGAATGGGTGATCTGTTTGGTATTTTGAGCAAAACACTTCATAGACATGTTTTTTATATATTTGTATATATCTGAGACCTATGCTATTGCCTAAAAATAGCATGATAGGTTTAAAGTGTATGTGTATTAGAAGAATATGTATCAGCTTTAGCATTGAGTTTTTGGGGTTGCCACTTTCTATGCCAGCCAAGCATTTGATAGTCCAGAGTTGCTGCTTTATCTTGGAATATTTGACCAACAATATTATAAAGCTTTATGAAAGAACCCAACACTTTTGAGTATAAATCAATGATACAAAGATAATAATAATACAAAAATCCTGCATCACCATAGCTGAGTGGTTTAGACACATCATGAAAAAGGATGTTCTAGATATTAGTGAAACCTAAAATTATGGAAATGTTAAGAGACATTCTTTAGATTAAACATATTTGATTCATTGTGCTACCCACAATCTTTGTTAACTTTGGCCACAGGAGTACAAAGAAGCCACAAAACAAGTTGTCAGAGATTCAGAAGAAAGGAGCGTGATAAAAGAATTGAGACCAAGGTGTTAGCCCATTATTTTGTGTGAACAGTTATTTAAAGTCATCACAGAATAACAATTATAACACAAGAACTGTCCGTACACCCATGGGTAGAACAATTACGGAACAAATGCAGAATAAAACACGTTGTAAATCAGAAAGTTGCCTCTTCTTTCTTCATCTAATCTGCAGATTGATGTTGCTCTTATAAAAATATATTAAAAATACACTGAGTGAATCTACGAGTGAACACACCAGGGTCACAACCACGTCAAATAAACCATTAAAGAAAAGGCCTGAACCAAACCTGAACTCTGATAGTTATTAAACTGTCAAAGGTTGTGAAATGAATTGTGATTCCTTGCTAATGAGCCTGCAAAGCATGCGGGATAAGACTCGTGTTGATTTGTAAAATGATGAAATGACAGCTGACAGTTTAGGATATCACATTTTTCATGTACAAATCAAACTTCTTCATAAATTGTACCTGAGACCATAAAGTAGAGAAACAGCCGTTGTGTCCATTCCAACTTTGTCACTTTGAAGTCGTGATGCATCTCAGACAAAATTATCTTTGTGTCTCCTAAAAAGACCAGTTGACGTCTCTGAGTGCAGGGAGATGAAGTTATTAGATAGATAGATAGATAGATAGATAGATAGATTGGGAAATTATTTCAAATATAATTTATTTGATGGTATTCAAAGATATCATAGCATTTGTTTAACTTATTCAAAGAACCAAACAATTTTAAAAAGTGCCATATATACAAATTAGACATATCGTAGCAACAAGTGTTAACTTTACCTTATTTCCCAACTTCTAGACGTGTATGCACTGCTTTAAAAGAAAATGGTATACTCATGTGCGATCCTACACACGACATACAGTCATCCTTCCGTTTATAATACAGGTATGATTTTTTCAGTTGGAGCTTGAATGGAAACCACTGTGGTGTATATGCAGTAAGCCCCTATATTCTCACACATTCATTGCAGAGATGTTAAGACCACCATCTCTGCAACAGGATATGCACACCCACTATGGGCCTGTGGGCTGTGGGGAAGTTGCTATGTTCTGTGAGTGTTTATTGCCAAGAAAGGTTTTCACCACATGCAGTATACAGGTATTGGTATTTTGGTGCATGACAGCTCATGTACAATACAAATATGGAAAACCTACATGTTCCTAAAAATAAGCAAGTTTTTTGCAGTGTGCATCATAAGTCATTTGAATAATACATTATTACAAAGTGTTATGTGTGTTTTATTTCTTTCCTGAGACAAGTTCTAGATTTCAAACCATCACTTATGCAAAATATAACAAAAATACATATCAACTTTATGTGGCAAACAGTCATATGCGGTGACATTTTTATTTTTAGGGAAATTTCATATTCATAAAAAGAAATGGGCTAACCACATCGTGAACATATTTGATGGCATTGTTTACTACCACTGGCCTTAACTTCTTTGTATACAAAATTGTATATGATGTTCATATACAGCAGGGATGTCCAAACTACGGCCCGCGGCCCTGAGCTAATTAAAAAAGTATAATGAAATATAGCCCACAGATTAAACGTGTGCTTGTCTTAAATATTGTACTTCTTAAATATAGATGAAAACAGTTATTGTTTTTTTTAAGAAGCCCACTTTTCAAACAAATTCAGTCAGTTAAAGTTGAAAATGTTTTCTATCAAATATAAGTTGATGAGAAAAAAGCCCAATAACTTATTTTCATAAGACGCTTGAAATAACCCCTTCCTAATTCCTTTTATGATAAGCAATGTGAGGCTTCTGTTTTAAGGAATGAGTTGCGATCAAAATAATCGAAACCCAATGGAGAGCTGTGATAGGCTGTAGTTTTTCTTAAAGCATATTCAAGTATTAAGCTTAATTTACCTACATTTTATTCATTTTGCTGACTTATAACTTAACTTATGTTATGAGGCAATATACCTCACCTCAGTGGCCCAGCACTTCGTATATTTTTCTACATGTGGCCCTCGGTGAAAAAAATGTGGACACCGCTGATATTATGATCTTGATTAAAATCAGATTTAAATGAGATGAACTCCATTACCCATAAACCCTCTGTCAGCGTCTTACGTCATAACGTCAGACGGAAGGTATACTTCAACATGGAGGACATCGTAGCCGTAGAAAAGAGCCCGGTATGAATTAGTGGGATTGTTTCCTGTTTTTCCTCTTAAAATTGACAGAGTTTCTGTGGTAGGCTTTGGTACATTTAAGAGTTTGAGTGTTGCTCTCTGTTGGTGTTTGTCGTAGTTTTTTACCATTAGTGTGCTCGTTAACCCTGCCGAAACGTAAACCTGCCAATTCATTCTCTACTCGATGTAACGTTACGTTAGTTGCTATGTCATGCATGTTAGCTGCTAGCGTTAGCCTAATGTTTGTAGAGCTCGGGAAAAGAAATTAACTTGTATGTATGTTGATCTAGCTTTAATCGCCAAACATTAATGTTCGAGATTATGTTTGTATTATTCACCGGTGCGTCGCAAAGGTCCTTTTGTATTGTCTATTTGGGCGTTTTCAAGCCGTTAATATTAGCTAGCTGTTAACGAGCTAACAGTAGCTATGCTAGTGTTAGTCTCTGTTAGGTGTACGGTCATAAGTCATAACCGAGTTGTTGTTTATTGTCGAGTTTTTGTTATCTTTTTAGTTTGGGGTAATTTGAGTGGTATTACTATTCATGTTTTATGGTCTTGTTATCTAACTCTTTGTTTGTTTGTTTTTGTATAACTTGTCTTTAATTATGTTCCCCACCCTTTATTTTTGATGTATCTAGTTTTATTCTGTAAAGCACTTTGGGCTGCATCTTGCATGAAAGGGGCTATATAGATACATGTTATTATTATCGTACATTTGAGCTGTTACAGAGCTGAGAGCATTCTCTCAAATACATATGACCTATTATCCTGTTTGTTTGGGTGAAATACAGAACAAGCTCTTCCCTGATGGGCTGATGTTAAAAACAAGACATTTATTGTGTTGTTGTGGTGTTGTCATCCCTACAGGAAGAGATGCCTGCAATCCTGACCTCCAGACCCCAGACAGGCCTGTCCTTCCTGGCACCTGAACCAGAGGACCTTGAGGACCTTTACAGCAGATACAAGGTCTGACACCTGCTTATACATTCCTGTAAAGACAATACACAACATATATCGTATGGGTGTAACAAACTGTAAGCTTGAAATATACATGTTATTCTTAATGAATATAAGAGATATGTGGCCACAATAGATGCAGCTAAATACAAATACAAATCAGAAACACTTAAAACCAACATGTACAAATGTGCCTCCTGCATGAAATTATAGTAACACAGTTTTAATCCTCTGGATTCAATAATTCCAGTGGAGTTATTGATTAAAATATTAAATCAGGCTGATAATTAAAATGGAATGACAGAGGAAAAGCTAAATATTTCATACAGCCATATTTACATAAAGTTTTCCCAAATATACCAACCTACTTTGGTTCTAATTGAGCATTTTAAACGGGTTCTGACATTAACTTTATAACCTTATTGAAAGTAATATAAAATAAATACCATGTACTTATTCAAAGACATTTTTGACACCGTTTCTTTTATTTCTTGCTCAGTAAAGAATCAAATACAATTCAGTCTGAACTTTGTAACAGTCCAATGCATTCATAATTTACCATCTGAACAATTGACATTGAATAATTAGTAGGGATGCTCCGATCGATCGGCCGATACTCACTCTCGGCCGATCGATCGGTGCTCCCTAAAAATGAATGACGCTTTCCTCTGTGCGCGGCAAAACAAGCTCGCCAAAATGGCTTCACCAGTCTGGCAGTATTTTAAGGTGTCCGAAAATGACAATAAAATAGAGGTATGCAACGTGTGTGAAGCAGAAATCCTGCAGCTCCACCCGCTGTGACGGACCGGTGAGCGGAGCAAAACACACACTAAGAGTTAGACCTAACACCCTTGGCTATTTGATCTACCTCTGGAACAAGCTAAACTAGTTATAAATATGTTTATTCTTCCCTGTCGGGTCACTCATTACTGGATCAGCGAGCTGCATGAGATACTGACCGGCTGTCAGGAGAGGGAGAGAGGGAGAGGGAGAGAGAGGAAAAGAGAGCGCTTCCGCTCATTTCTCCCGTGTTATTATCCAAACTTAATGTCAACTTGAATAATGTACTTCATTTGAATGTAATAATTATGTTGTTTGTGGAAGCGCCAGTGAATGAGCCCCAATAACTGAGTTTTAAACATCACTTTAAATGGAAGATCCCCATAGGCCCCCCCCACTCGATCGGATCGACGATCGGTATCAGCCGATACTGATTCCGGCGATCGGCCCCAAAATTGGCGATCAGAGCATCCCTAATAATTATATTTCAGAACAGTCTTTTTCTTTTCTTTTTATGTATACTGCCTTTAAAGTGATCCTAGATGTATCTCTCTACTGAAAATGTTTTTCAAACCTTTTTTGAATGATTGTTGATATAATGGTTCTTCAACTCTTCATGTCTAAACACAAGCTACCAACTGGTCTATGATCTCCAGAAAGCAGATGTTACCATAATCTCCAGCAGAGCATCACCCTTCTCTTCTTCTTTTGTGTGTTTACAGAAGCTGCAGCAGGAGCTGGAGTTCCTGGAGGTGCAGGAGGAATACATTAAAGATGAACAGAAGAACCTAAAGAAAGAATTCCTCCATGCCCAGGAGGAGGTGAAGAGGATACAGAGCATCCCGCTTGTTATTGGCCAGTTCCTGGAAGCTGTGGACCAGAACACAGCCATTGTTGGCTCCACTACAGGTACCATCCGAAGAAAAAAATAGTCCCAATTTTGGACATGCTAGATTTGACACTTGGATATACTCCTAAAGGTTGTCAAGAGGTGAAAAGACGAGATATGAAACTGCTTTCTAACTTGCACATAAAGACACAGAAATATGATCTGTTATTTCCTTTTGTGTCGTCCTTTTCACGGATACATGAGTGTGACAAAACTGGTTTATGTTAAGCTTGAGGTCACGGCGGTATTTTCTGCACTGAAGAGCAATTCAATTATTACTGTCATTGCATTTCTGAAAGATTAAAAAAAAAATAGTATGCATAGAAAACAAACAAATAATGACAGTGAAAATAAATAAAGAGAAAAAGCCGACACTGAAGCAAGGCAAGGCAATTTTATTTATATAGCACTTTTCAGCACGTGGCAATTCAAAGTGCTTTACAGATTAAAAGCAAAAGACATTTAAGAACAAATACAGCATAAATACATTATTAAAAACAGGCATAATAAGCAAAGGTAATGAAATAAATAAACACAGCAGGTGCAGAATACATGACTAAAAAGCATAGTAGAATGAAATGATGAAGGATTCGTCCATGCTGTATATTTGAATGCTTTATCATGTTAGGCTTTCTGAGTCTTGAGAGAGAACCTAGAGGCGATGTACTGTATGCTGTCAAATCTAAATCATTTAGTGTGAAGTACACGTTTAAATGTGTAATGAGTTCTGTTCGTTCTGTTTGTTCTCATTTTATAAGTCATATTTGTTCTTCCCTCAGGGTCCAACTACTATGTGCGCATCCTGAGCACCATCGACAGAGAGCTGCTGAAGCCAACGCCTCAGTGGCTCTACACAAGCACAGCAACGCCCTGGTGGATGTGCTCCCCCCCGAGGCTGACAGCAGCATCATGATGCTGACGTCAGGTAAAACACTCACTACCACTCTCTCCAAGATGTCATCATTCTTACTTTCAAGCAGATACATTATCATTTTCAGCCAAGCAAGAATTCAGGGATTTGACTGACTGATATTTTGTATGAAGTTGATTGTTCGAATAGCAAAGCCAACTCTCCTTTTTGCTGTGTTTCTGCTCCCAGACCAAAAGCCAGATGTGATGTATGCTGACATTGGTGGTATGGACATTCAGAAGCAGGAAGTCCGAGAAGCTGTAGAGCTGCCACTCACACACTTTGAGCTCTACAAACAGGTCAGATATTCAAGAAATGCTAAATATTTGTAATGGATTTTACACTTATCACCAATTAGCATGGATTTTGCTCTTAATAATAACTGTTTTTCCTTTCTCAGATTGGCATTGACCCACCCAGGGGTGTCCTTATGTACGGACCTCCGGGATGTGGTAAGACCATGTTGGCCAAGGCTGTGGCACATCACACTACAGGTAAGCCCTCCACTTGAGACCTGTATTTGTTCATGTACCAAAACATCTTAGTAAACAGATTAGTACTGACTTTAAGTGATATCTACAGCAGGCACTGCATTTGAGTTCTGGATTAATGATAAGATATATGTTCGGTGAAACCTAAATGAATGTCCAATCGTTCTGTCCCCAGCTGCTTTCATCCGCGTGGTGGGCTCTGAGTTTGTTCAGAAGTATTTGGGTGAAGGCCCTCGTATGGTGCGTGATGTCTTCCGGCTGGCGAAGGAAAATGCACCAGCCATCATCTTTATTGATGAAATCGATGCCATCGCCACCAAGCGTTTTGATGCACAGACTGGAGGTATGAACATGTGTGGCTCACATGAATACTCTGTTTATAGACCAATGTTTTGTTGTACATTTTATTTTGTAAGCACATGTTACTGTAGTTTTTCTCATTGACGTCTAGATTCCTATTTTAGGATACGTTCTAATTCACTGATCACATCCTTGTTAATGCAGAAACACGATGGTTGACAAATGTTTTCTGACCTTGAATGTTTTGCTGTGCAGCTGACAGGGAGGTGCAGAGAATCCTTCTGGAGCTGCTGAATCAAATGGACGGCTTTGACCAGAACGTCAATGTCAAGGTGAGCCAAGTCCACCTGTCTGTAAAGCTCTTTCCTTTCCTCCTGTGACTGCACCATTTCCATTTGTACTGAATCATTGCATCATTGGTGGTGCATGAACACCGACACTGCAGCCATTCATTCGCCTTTCATATGCCCTAACTCCATGCATTCACCTTAGCAGGCACCCAGGAGGTTTATGTTGTTCAACTTCAAGCCCTATTTTATTTAGCCTTAAATATAACGGCAGCATCACAACGTTTTAATGAGAACATATCAACATAAAAAAAGCAAAACTATTTGATTAACAAATAAATCTGATATATTTGCAAATAGACTTATTAGATTTCAACATAGCTTTAAACTCATCCATTGTCACTATGTTTTAAGTGTAGTCTATAGTTTATTCCATACATTAGGTGCCGACAATCTAGAAGCTTTCTTCCCCAATTCAGCTCTTAACATAATAAAGCTACAAATCAGACGAATGACCAAAAGCAGACTAATTAATTTGTTTTGAGTTTTAAAACACAAAAGTGATGAGGCAAAGTGTGTTATTCCTCTTAGAGCCCCATGATGTGCACTTTGTCCAGTAGTGACCATTTTATGGGGAACCCAAAGCAACCCCACAACACAGTATGTTCATTTACCATCTGACTTGCTTTGAACCTGTCTTAGGTGATCATGGCCACCAACAGAGCAGACACGCTGGACCCGGCTCTGCTACGTCCTGGTCGTCTGGACAGAAAGATTGAGTTCCCCCTGCCCGACCGCAGGCAGAAACGTCTCGTTTTCTCCACCATCACCAGCAATATGAACCTCTCTGAGGAGGTCGACCTGGAGGACTGTATCCTTTTATTTCAATAAGGGCACATTCTAAGTGTCTGTTGGGACATTTCTGCAATGTCAATATGTCATGCAAACATTTTTTAAGGACATTTTTGCCCAAACCTCTCATTTGGGCCTCATTCTGTCCTTTGGTTTACACACATACATATATAGATATGTATGTGTGCGCAGTTTACTGTCTGGAACATGTGATGAGTTCTAAATCAGTGCATTTTTTTAAGGATACATATTTTTCTGATAAATGGAAGTCGGCTTAATGTTAGGGATGCTCAATCTATCTCACGCTAAAATAAAGCCAGTTTTTACAGTAAAAAATGGTAAAGCCATTATTTACTACCAGTTCTAGTCTAGTAAGTAACTCCCGTACCTTTCTTTTAGTGTTAATCTCCCAGATTTATGAATGTGGACGTTCACACTATCTGGCCTTTTACTCGAAACACAGGGCTTGACAGCAGGAACTCATCAGCTGTTCCTGTGGTTATTTGTTGCAGTTCTTTGCAACACTTAGGCTTTATTTGTTTGCAAATGTAACACATAGCTCTGAATGTGAGATGACACACTCGCATGTCATTTTTATCTGATAACATCTTTCATTGCATGCCACCAGACTTCCTTGATTGTTGATGACAAGTAGAGAAATAATGAACACGCGCAACAAGGGTGGCAGTCTGCACCCAGATGTTTTGGTGTTGTCCTTAACAGATGTACAGATGTGGCTAGACCAGACAAGATCTCTGGAGCCGACATCAACTCCATCTGCCAGGAGGTGAGCTAGAGCTTTAATTGTCTGTTCATTTAACCACTACCCTTTCTTTACTTTTGGTAGAGCAGTGTAAATCTGTGTCTTTTTCTTTCTTTCCCTGCTTTCTCAGGCTGGCATGTTGGCGGTCCGTGAGAACAGGTATATCGTCCTGGCCAAAGACTTTGAAAAAGCTTACAAAACCGTCATCAAGAAGGACGAGCAGGAGCACGAGTTCTACAAGTAGAGAGTAAAAAAACACATCCTAGGGAACAAAAAAAGGTGTCCAGACACGGGGGTTTGTTATTGATTTACGTCTGTGTCTATCTACAGTATGTCTTTTGTGGATTTGCATTCACTGACTTCCATTGATTTTGGACTAAATGTACTCACTGCTGCAGAAGGCCTAATGTCAGCCCTGTACCTCCTTAAGACGCACTACCATGTGAAGGAGGGATTTGTGCACAGGCTCTCTACTGACTCCTAAAGATAAGGCCTCAAAACGTAGCTAGGATAGAACATTTGTATCTATATGTACTCACTTAACAATACATTACAAAAATCCATTAAAGATGTTTTCCATAAAAAAAATGATTGTCATGTTTTTTGCCTTTAAATGCCATTTAGATTCTACCATACTATATTTATAAAATTAACATTGTTGTGTTACGATTTTTGTTCATCAACAAAATATTTTTAGTTGGAGCTGCAACAAATACATTTACCAATCAGTTGAAGAAAAATGCATTTTTTTATTTAAATCTTTTTTTTTTCTACACAAACAAAACAATTATTATTAACTGTTCCCAATGTGAGCTTTGTTCTATTGTTGTTTTTATGATATTCATTTTAAGATTTTGGACTTTTGGTTGGACAAAAGAAGACATTTTAATGTCACCTAAGGCTTTTAAAAAGTGGTGGTTGGTCAGTTTAAGTAAAACTATTTTACAACCAAAAATGGCAAAAAAATGATAATCCTAGCTGTTAGCAGAAGCCCGATTGTAAGTATCATCAGTCATAAAATGTGTTTTAGCCTGATGATTATTTGTCAAATATAAAACATAACTCTGATACACACTGAAAGATATATATACTAGTATCACATCAAACATCGGACTCAACATTTATTCATTCACCAACATTGGCGGTTAGCAGAGAAGGCCATACATCATATAAATGTACTGTTTTGTGGATGTCCTCCTGTCAGTGTGCTGATCATGACAGTCGCGTCATATGGATGCCAGTGCTGGGCCGGGCGTCTCGCTTAGTCCTCGAATGCTGTCTTCCATGCTGTTCCGGTGCCCTCTGCTTCTCTTCTCTCGAGCCAGCCCATGAGTCGAAGCAGTGCAGCCTGAGGTTGCAGCTCTCCCTTCAGCCACAAGTGGGGGGAGATGATTCATTAGCAATGTGGCAATGTCGGTAAATCCAATGCACATCAAGCTCAACCAAAAGCATGACCTTTGTCCACCAATAGTACATATTTATTCTGGCAGTTTAATGTCCAAAGTCCCTTGAGGGATGCTCTGATTCTACTGTAGTGCATTTAATTGAAGCCAAAATGAGAATGGAATAAACAAATTGTATTTATCTGACCAAAAGTGTCACCATTATATGCTGTTACATCACAATTTACAAATAAAATAAAAAGCAGTATGGGGTCCATTAAAATGTGGGAATACCCCTGAATATGACTGAAATGAAAGGAGTGGTACTCACATGTGTTTCACTTGGTCTCTGGTGGGAAGGCTGTAAGTGACCTGGTCAAAATAGTATGGACAGAGATGCAGGGTTGCCTGTACTGGCTGTTGGGACATCCAGGGAAAGATTTGATCCAGGTTGTGGTTTTGTCCAACATACATTCCGGAAAAGTGTCTCGACCACATGGCTGATGCCAAAGCATCCATGATGGTTTGATTTCCTGAAGGCCTTTGAGGGAATAACTGGTACAGAGGGGGGTGGACTGCCATTTTTCCAGCTCTGTCCAATCAAAGACACACAATAAAAATGAGTCTACTGCCAGCCACAGAAAAAAAAAGTGCTTTGGTATTTATTGTCATGTTATTACACAAAATGTATGTTTGGCTATTATTAATCTGAACTGGCACTGTCTTTTCAAATGATGCAAGTATGGGATTGTGATCAGAGGTCGAAGAAAGATTTAGAACTTCTAAGTCAATGCTCTGTTACAAGTACAAGTAATATTTTTTTTATATTGAGTACAACATATTGATGCATTCATTCATTTATATCATCACTTCTTCCTGCTGGTGTTTTAAACATTGATTCAGATCATGTTATTTCTTTATTATACATTTTCATTAATACGAGTGTACAAAGTATTTAAACAAGTAGCAGTAAACTCAAGAGCAGAGCAATCCCATCTAGCAACATTTGGAAATAAGTAAACTAGGACTGGAGTAATGAAGAAGCCAATTTAGTTACTTTCCACAATTGATTATGATTTATTAGAAACAAATTAAATAATCAAAAGACAAAATTGTTACTTACCTTAACCAAGAAATGTGATTTCCTGTTATGCTGTGTGACATTTCTGTTGTCTTTTATATCTGTTATTCTGTTCTAGAACATGTGGCTTTTTTAAATAATGAGTCAGGTGAATCATACTGTATTCATACATTTAAAACAATACAAACAGACCTTGTAACAGCGATTACATTGGTAACCACAGCACGGGCAGTTAAACCATACGGCGTGGCAAAAATGTGTTTGATGAGATTTTTTTTATGGTAGATATTCAAATGTATTCTTTTGTAATTGTTAAAAGGCACATTTTGGGAAAATAAGCCTTAAAATACACAAACTGTGAGCAGGCTAGTCAAGGCCTAACTGGCCTTTTTTGTGGAAAGCTATGCATAACATACTTTATACCAGAGGTGGAAGAAGTACTTAGATTATTATTTTAAGTAAAAGTAATGCCACAGTGTAAACATACTCAGTTACAAGTAAAAGTCCTGCATTGAATTGTGTACATAAGTAAAATGATTAGCATTAGTTACAGTCTACTTTAAGAAGCAAACGTAAAAGCAGTTCTGCAGAAAGGCACATTTAAATACCAGATCTTTTTTTTATTAAAAATGATTGGTGCATTAATGTGTTCATAATGTCAATGTTGCACTTGGTAGGTTTCATTTGAATTACATTATACACTAGGCCTACTAGCTTAACCTACAATAATATATGATAATAATTGTTTCGATTTTATTTTATATAAATAATTTAAATCCGCAAAGTCAATTAAATATATAAGATACATGTAGTGGAGTAAAAAGTACAGCATTTGCCAACAAAATGTAGTGGAGTAGAAGTACAAACTAGTATAATGTAAAAATAGTAAAGTACTTTAGCACAGTAATTGAGTAAATGTACTTTGTTAATATCCACCACTGCTTTATGTTATATTGACGAATGTATCCCAGTGCTACAACTAAGTTACTTATCTGAGGCACTGTACTTGAACAGCCAAGTGTAAAACCGAGTTAATACAAATTGTATAAAAAGCGTAAGTGTTTTTTTTGTGGGCACGTAGTTTCATGTTGGGTTTCCAGTGAAGGGGAGGAGGGGGAAAGGCTGTGTGACACTCAGCGCATTCGCTCTGTTGGACTACCACGCACGTTACAGCGACCACACAGCATCAACTTCAAAACATATCAAAAACGGAGGAGGGAGGGTACTGTCGGGAATATAAACGGTTTACACGCTACTTCACCAGCCAAGGGATTAAAGCAGTCCATCAGGTAAGAATAAAACAGCTAAGTATCTCGCTAAAAGACACCAAAAACAGCTCCGTATTTGTGGCTGCTAGCTAGCTAACGGTAGCTAACTAACTAACGGACGGCAGTTAACCGACTGCAGCGGCTAGCTCCACTCGGCTCGGACCGGATTGTTTCCTCTTCCCTGACACAGCTGGGGAGGATCAGGCGAAGTTGAGCATGGGAGGGAACATTTTCTCCTAAAGTTTAACAATTGTATGTGTTTCAGAAGTGTGGTTGTTTATGTTTTGGGTTAAGATGTACACGTCAGTCACAGTACAGTTGGTTTAACAGTACCTGAAACTTAAAAGTTAGCGCATAAGTTATACGCTTAATAAACGGTTTTATAACAATAGAAGACTCACGTATTTCGTAACTTTTATTTACAAGTGTGCGATAGGCCTATAAAGTGACTCATCTGGTAGCTACATGGGCAACATTGTTAAAGCTTATGTTACTAAATGTCCGCTCAACTTGGCTACGTTCATGTTAACGCACCCCCACAAAATGCTTGCACACGTTTTAGCTAAAGCTAGTTAACAAACCACTTCAAAGTTCGCTTACGTCTGTGTCACTGATAGGCGAACAATGGTGATTTTAAATACTTGGTTTCAAATAAATGCTAAAGGCTTTTTCTTTTACTGCCTTAACACAATATACAGAGGAGATTTCTGTTGACATTAGCTTGGTTTTTCGCCTTCTAGTTTTATTAGTAACCTACGTCGTGAATATGTCTTAATATTCACCTGATGCTGCTTATGTCCTGCCCTTTTCGTGTTAAAAAAGCACTGTGGTTTGTGGCCATTTATTTTGAAAAGGCAATCCTCTTAATTTTACAAGAGACCCAAAGGACTTTATAGTTGAGTAACTTCTTATGTGTCACTGACATGCGCTCAATGGTGACAAAAACGATTTCGTAATCGCTTTAAAGACTACTGGAATGGGCAAACAACTCTGTATATGGATTGTTAACTACTCAGTAGAGGCATTTGCTGTTAGGGATATGACCCTATTGACTCATTGATTGCGCAATTTCATGCTCGTTTCTTTAAGTCACATGATTTCCAGTCCCCATTCTTTATGTTTCATGTATACTCTGAGAAGAACAACAGGTTCTGTATTGCCTCCCTCTCTGAACTGTCAGATTGATTGAGTCAACACTTGAAGTGTGAGTGGAGCAGTACAGAAGGACTATTCTTTTACTTACTACTAGAAGATTGACCAATAGTTTAACCTGTTGACTGCTGGGATGTCAGGATGATTCACTCTGTACACCTAATTCACTTTTTCAATTCACACTTCTGTGTCAGGAGAAAGTTTAACACTGCCCATGAAATATTAGATTTTATGAACATACTTTTGCACATTTAAAATCAAACAGTATTAAGTTAGCTGTATGTGTGTCAAACCGCTTTACACTTCTGACATCTGTATTATATATATTACTAAATTGTTGGCAGTGAATTAAGGTTTCCCTCTGCACATAACCACTGGCAGTTATTGTGATATATTGAGATTAGTCATAAGACTCTCTGATATGATATTTGACGTCACTTTTGTTATCTTTTTGCATTAGGTTTCAATGGAACAATTGTTTTTTTCCCCTTTGTCTGACTAAGCTTTATGTTACAGGAGCTTTCAAAGTTTACTCCCTTCATTGTTGTGTAACTTGTTGCTCCAGGTGTGTTGTTGGTTTTCTAACCACATGGGGGTTTCCTTATCTCCATGGTTGTCACTGCTAAGTTTGCAACCTACTGCAAGTCATGCTGATTGCTAGCTATTCCCGGTGGGGTCTTTTTAGCAGAGGTGAACACTACACTATGGAAAACAAGCATAATCAACCAGAAATCTGCAGAAAATAAGTGGGAGGAAGGAGGAGAATGATGATGTGTTTTTCCTCACTAGTCTGTCCCAGCAGTGTTTGACTCGAGGGAACAGCCATAGAGACATGTACCAGCTGCACCCGCGATGAATGGCCCAGGCTCAGGATGGGTTGCCATGACAAGGACGCTGGCACGTGTTGTTATGCAGACACATCTTTTATCAGGCCATGTTTGCACATTATTTCATTGCCTGGTCTTGCTTGGTAAGTTCTTGTGAGAAAGACTTGGTTCCGTAGACCGGATTCAAATAACGTTTTACTTTGATGTTTTCTTTTTAAGGCCGATTTTTTGTAAAAAATATGTTCCTAATATCCTAGCCTAGTAAACATTATTACAGCCCTTTGCTCTCTGCTGACTACATTTGTCCTGGTCAGTTCTATAACCAGATGAACTACTCCTGTTATTTAGCTTGCACTCAGATCCTCAATTTATACAAATGTAGCCACAACATGGATGCTCAATCACAATTGCAAAGAAAACAGCCTGTCAGATGCTACTGGCTTTAATAGTCTATCTATACCAGGGGTGCCCAACCAGTCGATCACGGGGAGATTCCCAGTCGATCACGAGATGTGTCTAAAAATAGAACAACAATATTCTGTTTTATTATGTCCTATAACATAATATTCCTGTGTCAGAATAATGCACTTGAACACATCCAAGCTTTGTGATTGGCCGGCGTGACCCCATGTGTCGGGGCGTGGCAGGTGGGCAGTGGGCAGTGCACTAGTTCGCTGACGTTGTCCGTGTCAACAGTCCACACACACACACACACACACACACACACACACACACACAAGACCGCAATTATGACAGAAGCAAAAAAGCCCAAAATATATAATTTTCACTCCGAGTGGGAGGATGATTATTTTTGTATCTATTCCAATTCAAAGTCCATCTGTCTCATCTGCAATGCGAGCGTGGCTTTATCGAAGAAGGGTAATTTAGGAGCGGCATTTCAAAACAGTGCACAAACGCTACGAGACGGAATTCCCTCCTAATTCTGCCCTACGCTCCAAAAGGTGAGGGGCCTGAGAGGACAGCTAAATGCACAGCAGTCCATTTTCACCAGGCACAACAACAAGAGCAAGGCTGCTACCAGAGTATCTTATCGTGTCAGTCACGTTCTTGAGAAACACATGAAGTCTTTCGAAGACGGCGAAGTTGTGAAAGAAGCATTCCTGGAGGCTGCCGACGCGCTTTTGGGGGACAGTAAAAATAACAGTAGCATTTCAACAGGTTTTTGATATAATAAAAACTCAAGTTAGATACCGTTATTAATCAGCTGTAAGTTTTAGTTTGTTTGAACTTATTCATTATAATTATTTTACAAAATGGTATAAGAATGCAAACTTAAATTGATTATAGTCTATTATCAATTCAGGTTAAGAAACTAGTGTTGCTTGCATCCTATTTTAAAGGCATTTATTTTTATACTCTACTAAAATGGAACAAAAAAATGGTTTGATTCTATTAATTTTGTCTTTTTTATTGCACCTTGGCAGCAGATTCCGGTGTAGCTTCAGATCTGAGTTGTCTTATTAGTAAGCCGAATGTATACTTTTGTAGCAACACTATTTTTATATATTGGCAAAAAAAAGGGTTCAGAGTCTTTTCTTTTTTCCCTGTGTCATATGTGGCAGCACTGTTCAATGTTTCTTGAAAACATTATCCACTGAAGTATGTGACGTGTGAATAAACTCCAACTTTGTATCAACAACACCGTTGTGTAACTTCAGTTAAATCCTTGTATGTGTGTAGATTAGAAAGAGGTAAGATAAAGGATCTGTGGTATTTTATGAAGTATTAATCGTATAAAGGTCAGTTTTATTCAAGTAGAAGTGTGTATTTGTCAGTAATGGCTACACCTCTCTATTTGGACTGGTAGATCTCGGCAGACTGACAACTTTAAAAGTAGCTCTCGGTTCAAAAAATGTTGGGCACCCCTGATCTATACACAAGCATTAGAATTGGTAGAGATGAAACTATGGGCATAGATATGTCTCATAATTATTTGTGTGAACATAAAAATAATTTGTGTGTAAATATGTGATTTGTAAATGTAAAACAACATCCACAAATGCATTTAAAAGATTTGCAAACTCACAAATACATTTGCAAGTGTAAAACGGATCTGCAAATACGCTAAATATGTTCACAAATAAAAAAAAGATCTGCGAATATCTCTTTAACATTTACACCTTTCGATCAGGCATTTGTGAATCCATTTTGTATTTGTGGACCAAAAATGCGCTTGCGGATCTCAAATCTCTGTTCGCGGATCGTCTTTTTACACACACGGAATTGAGACATATTTTCCGCCGGTCTCGGCTAAAATCTACTCGTGTCACTCGGTTATTTTCGGTAACCACGTGATGGCCTGCTGATGGCGACATTTCCGCATGATTTCAAAGTAAGCATGATGGTTTGTTTAATGCTCTGTTTTTGTATTATAATGAACAGTGGAACGTTAGATGCATTTTTCATCATCATCATCATCATCATCATCATCATGTTATAGTGATACAGTTAGTTTGTGTTATTGGTTCAATATAGCATATATCGAGCACTTTCGTTGATGTTGAAGTGCAGGCTATAGCCTACGCCACTTTCGGGTGCCGGGGGAGCAGCTGGCAGCGAAGCAGCCCAGATAAAACTCTTTCTTCATTGTGTATTCAGTCAAGCGGGTCGAAGTTACAAAGCACTTCACATCTTATTAATCGGCCTAATTTTACCTTACCAGTGCAGTAATAAAGTAATCTGTAGAAAAGCACCGTATTTAGGTCAGGGTTATGGTGGTGAAGAATACATCTAACGTTCCACTGTTCATTATAATACAAAAACAGAGCATTAAACAAACCATCATGCTCTTACTTTGAAATCATGCGGAAATGTCGCCATCAGCAGGCCATCACGTGGTTTCCGAAAATAACCGAGTGACACGAGTAGATTTTAGCCGAGACCGGCGGAAAATATGTCTCAAAATTCCGTGTGTGTAAAAAGACGATCCGCGAGCAGAGATTTGAGATCCGCAAGCGCATTTTTGGTCCACAAATACAAAATGGATTCACAAATGCCTGATCGAAAGGTGTAAATGTTAAA